ATAAATTCATTAAAAAGACTGTGAAGCACATTGAGATCAGGTGATGGAAGCACTATATAAAAGAGATAGGAATTACTATTATTCCCATGGACCCTTTTGCCCTTATCATTCTCTGGCTTCCTTTCCCAAGAATTCCAAGGATTTGCTGTGTTGGAAGTCCTCACCCCCCACTCACTCTGTATCCATAAAAATCTCTCCTACTCAGGAGCACAATTCCCTAAAAATATCATAAGGCAAATCTCAGAGTTTTCTAACCTCTCTCATACATTTTCCATGAGAGGGGATCATCTAGTCTCATGAATGAGGAGAAGACAAGCTTGTTAGGTATTTCAGAATAAAAATAAACTTCTCTTACTAACACTTACAATTTCAAAGCAGTTATGGACAATGTAGGGGTTGACACAGTCCAGTTAACTAGGATTTTTGGATAAAGGCAATTGAATCCATAGTGTCCACCATGTAGCCCTAAATTAGTTAATAGCAATTCTGTTTATCTGAATGCCAGTTTATCTGAAACTTTCTAATACCTCCCTCCCTCCCCAGGCCATTTGCATAAACAGGAGTGTACTATTGATAGACTAATACTTAAACTGGTAGCATGGGTACAATCTGGAACTGTGACAAGTTTCCTTTACGTGAAATAACTGGTAGTATGGATTAGCTGGAATCCATAAGAAGAAAACTACAGTAAAAACCCTAACCGATAGCTATTAGTAAGGCAATGGCCATACCTGTTGTTTCAAGTGCTTTAAAGCAGACTCTCCATTCTTTGGGTCGTTTAAAGCTTCTTGTAAGGCCTGATGGGACAGCTTTTGATCCTTAAGTATTGGCTTTATACCTGCATCAAATGGAGAAGTACTTTTCATAGATTCAATTAAAAAGGCCACCTCACAACAATCTGGCTCCCACCTGCATACTGAAGTGACTGCATACAGTACTTAGTATGCAAAATATTTGACTCTGAAGACTCTTTACAGAATTAGCATGCTGACCATTTGAAACAATAAAAGTGAAAGGGACACTATCAAATAGTTCAAGTCCACAAGTTGACATCTCAAAATTGTGCTAATTTTATAGGTAAGTCCTTCAAACTCTAAAAATATATTTTTGTTTTTAATCCAACACGTGAAAATTTCCCTATCTTCTGCCATCAACAAAATAATCTACAACAGGGGTTCTCAACCATTTTCTTTCGGAGGCCCCCCAACATGTTATAAAAACTCAACGGCCCAGCTATGCCTCAACAACTTTTTTCTGCATATAAAAGCCAGAGCCGGCATCAGGGGGTAGCAAGCAAGGCTATTGCCCAGGGCCCCACACCAAAGGGGGCCCCCAAAAACTGAGTTGCTCAAGCTTCGACTTCAGTCCCAGGTGGCAGGGTTCAGGACCCTCAACTTCAGCCCCACATGGTGGGGCTTCAGCTTTCTGCCCTGGGTCCCAGTGAGTCTAACACTGGCCCTGCTTGGTGGACACCCTGAAACCTGTTCATGGTCCCCCGAGGGGGCCCCTGACCCTGGTTGAGAACCACTGATCTATAACACAAGCGTCATTGCTCTCTTAATGGTTTAGAAATACCAGTTTACTAATAAATGCTTTTCCCAGAGATGTGCTGTCATCACCTAATGATAGTGCACAAAGAAGAATGTAAAACAAAAGTCATTAATTTCATTAAAAACAAAATTAACTTTTATTCAAAAGAACAAACAAGATTGAGATGGGGAAAAAATACTAGCTAACAGTGTCATGTAGGCAGTTCTTTAACCATTACAAGATTTCAATTTCAGATCACATCAAGTGACAAAAATAAGTACTCCTATTAATCTCTTTTCTTTTTTTAAACCTGGAAGCTATTTAACACTAAAATAGCCATGAGGTATTTGATCAACTCTGCAGAAAGCAATTTAAAATATTTCAATATTAAGCAGACTCACCATTACTTGCTTTTTTCAGCTTTCTAATTAAGTCCTCTAACTCTTCTCTAGACAGGGAAGAAATTGGCAACTGCTGGAAAAAAAAAATACAAAAAACAAAATGGTTCTCCTCGAATTTTATCTATTTGTTCCTTAAAATAAAAGAGAAATGGACTCACCTGTTCATCAAGTATTTCTGTTGCGTCTTTTAATCCTGCATTAATATCTTGAACAAAGTAGGCCTTAATAATGAAAAAAAAAAGCATGAAAACCAAGGAGACTCTAATACAGACTGAACAGCATGTAAAGCAAAAGAATGCTTCACAGTGTGTTTACAGTCATTCACCTAGCAAAAATCAAATAATTACAACTGAAGAAAGTAGTTCTGAGAAAAGATTCTCTCTCTCACTGTTTCAGGACCCAACTCTGCAAACACTCTCCAATGGGTGTACTGCTTACTAGGGTGATTAGTCGGACAGATTTCAATGAGACTAAGCACTCTAGCAAGCAGTACAGTAGTAATGCTTCTGCAAGGCTGAGTCCTGTCTTGTACTAGCACTTTGCATCTTATTTGTACTATAAGGATCGATAATCAAAGGAATTTCTCTTTCAAGCAGTTGTTCTTTAAGCTTCCTGATCATTGACATTTCATATATACAGGCATATTTTAAGCTTTATATAGTCAAACAGATATGTTGGCAGCACAATATTCATCGGGAAGAAGTACACTGGCATCTGGATCACTGAATAGATATCTGAATCCAGTTCTCAAATATGGGCAAAAGCCACTTAACGTCACGTAGCTATACAAGGAAATCAAGCCAGGCTTTTAAAACATGGTAGACTCTTTTGTTAAAAAAAAACAAGTGGCCTTCTTAGCACATACCAGAAAGGAAGACATTTAATTTCATGATCAAGCATGGGACGCCTACCTCAGTCAACAATATTATTCAGGGATGATAAATATAAGAGTAGAGCTGACTTAATATTTTTGGTTGTTGTATGCGCATCAAGTTCAACTAACATAATCTTACATCAACCCCAATACTCAACAGAATATACAAGATCCATTCACAGCAGAAGTCATAAATCATTAATTCTAGGGGCCTGGTGGGGCAATACTCCCCAAGAACATTTTTGGGGAAAGTTAGTTCAATGTGAGTGCCTGGACAGCACTTCCATTCCTGGCCAAAAAAATTATCTTAAAGTAAGATCACAAATTTACATACAGCACTGGAAGCATGCATAAAGCATCAGGCATCGATTCATTTAATCCAGTACTTAGATAGCTTCAGTTTCTCCCTATTATTAGGCTCTATATAAGGACTACTACTCTCTGAGTTGAGTCAATGATAAATTCTTTCTACCACTGGTCCCATGTCTCCTTGGGCTTTGGTGTCTCCCCTCTCTCTTACCCACACAGTGCATAAGTCTGTGATGCCAAGAGTTGAGCTTTTGGAGGAGTCTCCTGAGCACTGCCATACAGGAACAGACTCCCCATGCACCAAGTCTTAACACCATTTGTTCCTGTCGTCCCTCTGTCTGTACAGAGTGTCAAAGGAGACAAATTTCAGTGGTGTTGCAACCATACAGCCAGAGCAACACTCCAGGCTGCTCCAGTGGCAGCCATACTGATCTAGTATGGGACGACTGCTTAAAAAGGGCATGGCCCCCTGGCTCTGCAGCCTATGGAACTTTGAGCAAATGCAAAAACCTTGGATGTTTGACCCTCCTCCACTCCAATCTGTGCCACTGCTTAGTTTATACTGCTCTAATATACAGTTATATGGCTTTCTGGAGAAACAGCATTTAATTTACATCACACTTACAGGCTTCGGCTTCTCTCTTGAATTACACTTTTTTAAATGCTTTTGTAATTGATCTTCATATACTGTGCTAAAATCAGAGAAAGAGAAATAAGCAACGACAGTCACAATTTTAACAATGAATACACAAATGTATTTAAAACACACTTACTGTTTTGGGTCAAGTGGGCATGGAATTCTTTTCCTGTCATTTTCTTCCTAGTGGGAAAGAAAATGTTTATTTCGTTAGCACAATATTATGGTGCAGTTAATGTCCTAATTTTAAAAAATCTGTCTAGAAACGTGTCTGTGGGTCACAAAAATAAAAATCTTTGCTAGCCTTGATTTATTGGAATGAGATCAAATGGAGAAATGCATGGTTTATCCAACTGAAACACACTGTGATTTAATTGGGGGGTGGATGGAGGAATGTTGTGCAAGTGAAGGCCTTAATACATCACCAAGCCCAGAGAAGCAGTGTGCCCCTGATCCCTTGTGACAGGCCGTAATTATTCTACCTACACCTTCTGGGGTTCTAGCTCGATGTCAGGCTCTGCAGAGGCCAGCAGTGATTTCTCAATAAGGTTTTCAAGAAGGGGACGTCGCCTGAGGATCCTGAAGCGATGAGTAACTAACAGCATAAGAGATTTAGCAAATAATTCAAAGCACAGAAAAGTAGGCAGAAGAGAAGGGGGACAACACCCCTCTCCTCCCCCGGCTGGGAAGCTATTGAGGAGCTGGCTTAGAGGCTGACACCCCCACTGCCAACCATCACTGCACGCACGCTCGGACTGCAGCAGCAGCCCGGGGTCCGGCGGAGCAGCGCGGCTTGCGCTGGCTTTGCCGTCGCCAGGCCTAGCAGGGCACAGAGCGGTCAGCTCCAAGGGCCGGGCTGGGCACGGTCCTCACCAACCTGCGGGGAAGCCCGGCGAGCATGGCCTGTCTCTATGGGGCGCGCTTTGGGGATACGTGCCAGCCCCTCCCCCAAGCGAGTCCATGGGGGCTATAAAAGAGCCCGCGGGAGGAGGACTCCCCACCCCTTCCCAAAGCCGAGGGGCCCAACCACCCCCTTCCCCGTGACCGGGTCCGCCTGCCTGGCAGGCAGTGCCCCGGGGCAACGGCAGCGGCGCCCCGGTACCTCCTGGTCTCCGTGTTCCCCGCAGAAGCGTCTCCCCTGAGCCGGGATCATCTTGCAGAACCGCTTCTTCCGCTCCACGAAATAGCCGCACCGTCCGGGCACAGGAGTCCGCAGCCCCCCCGGCCGCACCCGGCTCAGCTGCCCGCCTCTGCCCGCTCCCGACCGCAGCCGGCTCGGCCGCCATCTTGCTGCCCCGCCCCCCGCGGCAGCCGAGCGCCAAAGTCAAAGCGCAAGATGGCGGCGGAGAGTCTGTTCGGCCGGTTGGTGCCGGTGCAGGTGAAGTGCCAGGGCTGCGAGGACAGGTGAGAGCCGGCCCGGGGGAGCGCGGCCTTCTGTACTGGGCTGGGGCTCGGCCCTGCGGGACCCTGGAGCAGCCCCCTGCAGCCAGCCGCCTTGGGCTGGGGTGAGAGGCCGGCGGGGCTGAGCGTTCAGCCCATCTCTGTAACATGGGCGGCCTCTGGCCTTGAGGCTGCTCGAGGCCCCCCCCGCCCCCCCCCGGCCTCTAGGGACCCGTCAAGGGGCGCAGAGCAGCTGAGGGTACCCTGGTTGGGCTCCGCAAACAGCGCCCGCCGCTAGGGGCAGGGAGAGCCCTGCAGCGTTTCTCTGCAGCCCGGGCACTGTCGCACAGTCCCAGGGAAATCCTGGCTCTCTGCGGGTTTATCCATGGCCTGCAGCAGGGCCAGGAGCTCATCACCACCCAGGGGCTCAGTGCGCGGGGAGTTTCCGGGATTGCCATGGATTCTCTCGGACATACATAAACAGCGCAGCCTGGGCAATCCCGTCTGATCGCTGTCGGACCGCGCACTGCTGCTGCATTGGCATTTCCAGGATGTCCCAGTGTGTGCTGCTGAGTGCTTGGCTTGCAGACGTTTAAGGCGTTTACAATCGGAAGCCCAGAGCAGATCTGCTGTAAACTGTTCTTCTTCACTCTAGATCTGTGGTTTTCAACCCTTTCTCATTTGCAGACTCCTAAAAAATTTCAAATGGAGGTGCTGACCTCTTTGGAAATCTTAGACATAGTTTGCAGACCCCCAGGGGTCCATGGATCACAGGTTGAAAACCACTGTTGTAGACAGATCCTCTGCAAGCTCATCCTCAACCCAACCCCACACCCCCAGATGGAGATCACATATTCTCTCGAGAACCATATTCTCTCGAGAATCATCCCCTTGTACTTTTGGAATGATCACCATTCCACTCAAACCGGAACAACTACTTAAAGCTCCTAGCTGAAGTGTTGTGATAAGATAGTATTAGCTGTTTTTCTCAAAAAGAACAAGGAGTACTTGTGGCACCTTAGAGACAAACAAATTTATTTGGGCATAAGCTTTTGTGGGCTAAACCCACTTCATCCAATGCATGCTGTGGAAACGACAGTACTTTTCACTGCATGCATCTAATGAAGTGGGTTTAGCCCATGAAAGCTTATGCCCAAATAAATGTTAGTCTTTAAGGTGCCACAAGTACTCCTCATTCTTTTTGCTGATACAGACTAACACGGCTACCACTCTGAAACCTGTTTTTCTCAGTTTCCATGCACAGTGGTACCTGGGGAATGAGGAGGTGATGAAGGAATTTATTCTCCCCAGAGCTTTTCCATCCTAAAATCCAGGAACCTCTTTCTCAGGCCTCCCCAACCAGAGGTCTCTGAATGCACTGGTTGGGAACCAAATCCATTAACTAGCACTTACCTTGTAGGATGTAGTAAGTGAGTTCCCAAATAATGGGTTTGGCTGATGGTGTTTGGAAAAGTCAGGCTAAAGCTTCAACCTTAAGGAAATGCTGTCAATTTGAAATATAGTCAATTTCAGAAACTTAGGCCCAGTCTAAAGAATATATATTTTTGTATGTAATTTCCTAAGTTAAAAACAACAACTTGAAAGCAGAGATTTCATGACATGGAATCACATTTACACCCAATATGGTTCATCAGCAGGGTTAGAAACTATAGATTCACATTACAGTCTTGTTTCACTTTGTCTAACGTAACTTGTAGAAGTAGTAGGTTGTTATACTCCATGTGGAACAGCCATGAGAGGGTGAATGATAGACACTTTGCCTGTGGGTTTCATAGATATTTGCTAACAGCAGAAGAATGCTGAGACTCAGGAATCTTGAGTTCCATCCAGGTTCTAGAGAAGAGTATACTCTAGTGGTCATAGACCAGAGGTGGGCAAACTACGGCCCGTGGGCCACATCCAGCCCACGGGACCCTCCTGCCTGGCCCCTGAGCTCCTGGCCCGGGAGGCTAGCCCCTGGCTCCTCCCCCTTTGTGGCCCTTCCCCCGCAGCCTCAGTGCGCCACCGGCGCAATGCTCTGGGCAGCGCAGTTGCAGAGCTGCGACCTGACCTGGTGCTCTGGGTGGCACGGCTGTAGTGTTGCCAGCCATCGGTGCTCCAGGCAGTGCGGTAAGGGGGCAGGGAGTGGGGGGGTTGGATAGAGGGCAGGGGAATTGGGGGTGATAGTAAGGGGGCTGGGGGTGTGGATGGGGTCAGGGCGGTCAGAGGGTGAGGAACAGGGGGGTTGGATGGGGCAGGGATCCCGGGGGGGGGGGCAGTCAGGAAGGAGAAGGGGGGTTGGATGGGGCGGCAGGGGGCAGTCAGGGGTGGGGGGTCTGGGGGTGGTCAGGGGACAGGGAGCAGGGGGTGGTGGATGGGGTAGGAGTCCCGTGGGGCCATCAGGAGACGGGGGAGGGGGTTGGATGGGGCAGGAGTCCGGGGGGAGCCATCAGGAGGCAAGAGGCAGGGGGTCGGATAGGAGGCGGGGGCTGGGCCATGCCTGGCTGTTTGGGGAGACACAGTCTCCCCTAACCGGCCCTCCATACAATTTTGGAAACCCGATGTGGCCCTCAGGCCAAAAAGTTTGCTGCCCCTTCATAGACCCTTCTGCCTGTGTCCCTCCCCTCCAACCTGTCTCTGTCCCAGGGTTTTCTTCCTGGCCCATCCTCACTACTGTAGCTCCTTGGCTTTCCCTCCTCCAGCTCCTAGCCAGTCTTAGTCTTTCCCCTATCCTGACTCCCAGTCTCCCTGCCTGGAGTCCTCATGCCAGTCTCCTTGTCCCAAACTCACATTCCCCCAAGTACCTCCTCTAATCTCAGTTCCCCTCTCCTCACACATTCCCAGCTCCTAGGGTTGCCAGGTGTCCGGTTTCTGACCAAAACGCCCAGTTGAAAAGGAACCCTGGCAGCTCTCGTCAGCACCGCTGACCGGGATGTTAAAAGTCCAGTTGGCTGCGCAGTGGGCTAAGGCAAGCTTTCTGTGTGCTCTGGCTCTGTGCGGTTCCTGGAAACGGCCGGCATATCCGGCTCCTAGACGCAGGGGTGGCCACTGCGGCTCCATGCACTGCCCCTGCCCTGAATGCTGGCTCTGCAGCTCCCATTGGCCGGGAACTGTGGCCAATGGGAGCAGTGGGAGCTGTGCCTTGGGGCGGGTGGAGCGCGCACAATCGCCTGGCCATGCCTCTACCTGGGAGACGGATATGCGGGCCAATTCTGGGAGCCGCCTGGGGTAAGTGCTGCCTGGCTGGAGTCCACCCCTTCCCTCAACTTAGCCCTGAGCCCCCTCCCAGAGCCCTCAGATCCCCTCCCGAACTTCAGCTGCTGCCCTGAACCACCTTGCAACCCAAACCCCTCATCCTCAACCCAACCCCACACCCCCAGATGGAGATCACACCCCTCCTGAACCCCAATCCTCTGCCCCAGTCCTGAGCCCCCTCCCACATGCCAAACCTCTTGGCCAGAGCCCCCTCCTGCACCCCAAACCACTCATCCCTGGCTCTACCCTAGAGCCTGCACCCCAGCCAGACCACTCACCCCCTTCTGCACCCCACCCTCCTGCCCCAGCCTGGTGAAAGTGAGTGAGGGTGGGGGAGAGCAAGTGACAGAGGGAGGGGGGATGGAGTGAGTGGGGGCGGGGCCTTGGAGAAGGGGTGGGGCGGGGAAAGGGTGTTCAGTTTTGTGCAATTAGAAAGTTGGCAACCCTACCAGCTCTCTGTCCCAGACTATTACTTCCGCTGCCCCACTGTGGTCCAGCTCTAGTCCCCTCTGCATTTGAGCGAGGCAGCTTCCTTCTCCATGCTGCCTGGGCACCAGTATGGGGAGTACTGGAAACATCTGAGTCTTCCTCCTCTCTGTTCTTGTGCCTGTTACCACTGGGACCCACAGCAATTGCAAAGAAAGTCCAGCACATTGTGTATGGCAACTTCAGAGACTCTTAACAAGTCTCTGAGCATGTACAAACTGAAATTTTTCAGAGACTTATAACTTGGTCAATTTGGGGTAGTTTTTCATAGGTATGGCAAAAGGTACGTCTCTGTCACATTTCAAGCCCTTGCTCCAAAGAATGGACACACTAAAACTTCTCAATGCACTTGGTGTAAGAATTTTTTTAATATGAGCAAACCAATATACTTTCCCCCTAATCTCATACTTGAAAATGACTGCTACATTTTTGCTGAAACTATTAAAAAAAAAAAAAATTAAAAAAATCAGTCTTTAGGCAGGTGTTCAGTGTGGGAAATTTCAGCTTGAATCCTTGAAGTCAGGCAAAGTTATAAGCAATTGAAAACAGGGTGTTATAATGTGAAGTATTGGGTAACCTTAATTATAGATGTTGCTACCAGCTCCACCTATAATAATTAAAGTTACAGTGCTTCCAATATTTCACTTGGGGTGGTATTCTATGATCTTTTAGGCCTCATTGTTAGGAATGCTTTCTTGACATTTGATCTAAATTTTCCTTTTAAGCTACATTATTTTTATTTATTTATTTAAATTGTTTGAAGGACGAGTTCTTGATTTGATGATAGTTGCATATTTTGTTACATAGGAGGATAAATGTTCGAGTGAGGATTGAGCTACAATCAACATCGAATCCTGTTCATAAAAAGGTGTGTGGTCTTTTCTTTGCTCCTCCTTAAGTATTTTAAATGTCTTCTTCCTGATATGTAAAGAGAAAGCAACATGAACTTTTACTACATTTGTCATTGAGCAGGTTAGAGTCTGAAAAATCTGGTGTTTATTAGTATTCAGGTTTGTTGGCACGTGTTGGTTTAGTTTTTTTCCTTGCCTTATTAGCCCTTTATCTCAGTTTTATGGTTTCATAGTTCTTAGTAACATATGATGCGTCTGAGGGTTGATAACCACAACAGTTTAGAGAGCCCATGAGTAGCAACAGTGTTTTTTTTTTCCAGCACTCACCCATCTTCATTATGTCTGACTCTTAACTTAGAATTCTAAACTGTTGATTTTAAAGATGTCTGAATGTCACAAAATTCCCTTTTTTATTTAATTAAAACAAGCACTTCTTCATGATATGGTGAATGTAATACATTGTAATTTTATAGATAGCTGCGCTAGATATTTTGAACATATGTAGCCCATCATCATAGCATCATTCTGCCTATTGCAAGCCAAAGGCCTCATAATGTTGTTTCTAAACATCTTGGACGTGCTAAAAAAAAAAAATCTCGGGGTGAGAATCTCGCCCTTTTACCAGCCCATTATGCTGGGTAAAAGGGCCACAGCAATGTAAAGGGACTTTAAAAGCCCTGGTCCCAACTTGGGGAGAATTCCCACAGTGCAGGAATTGAGGAAGACAGCTGTCACATGCTATCTTCTGAGGGCTGCCTTGCAGGTCCTCATGTAGGTGGCAGGGCTGCAGAATGTCTTGCTGTGGAGATTCTGGGTTGTACTGCTGCATGTAGGCATGAGGGAAAAGCTGCCATATGTTAGAGACCGGCCCCCAGGGCTATGTAGCCTATTCTGAGGGCGCGAGCAGCCCAAAATTGAGGATGCAAAGGTGGTTTAAAGCACCTGGTTCTCAACCTGTGGTCCGCAGACTGCTGGGGGTCTGCGGACTATGTCTAAGCGGTCCATGGAAGACTTAGACTAAAAACTGACAGAACAGAATTCAACTATATGCACAGACAATAGATTTCCAAAGGAATCTGCACCTCCATTCAAAATTTTCGAAGAGATCCCCACCACCATTTGAAATTTTTTAGGGGTCTGCAAAAGAAAAAAGTCCTCATAACCCCTTCTCCCTCAGGACTGTGAGTTCTGTGCTATGCCTCTAAGAGCTGCAGCATGTTAGTTGGCCTTTCTGTAGTTACCATTCATTGATTTCTGTTCTGTTTTTAATGCAGTCCATTTTTATCATTCGTACTTGGAACAGTCAAATATAGTCCAATAAATACCTTTGCTTTGGAAATCTTCTCTGCTGGAAGTTAATGCGGCCTTGCTTTAAGATTACAGTCTCTTTGTGGGAGGTAGTTTTTTTTCTTCTGTAATATTTAAAATAGAAATTGCCCTAAAATGCAATATAACTGATGTTCCTTTTCCCTCTTATTAGTGGTCATAGGTGTCTCTTATTTGCTGTAGAAAGTTAAAATATTTTTGGGTACTGTCTGAATATATTAATATAACTAGTTTATAATGTTTAAAATCTTTAAAAATATTTATTTTTAGGACTTAGTTGTCCAGTTGACTGATGAAACTGACCCCTTTTTCCTTTATAACCTTGTTATATCTGAGGAAGATTTTCAAAGGTAAGATGTCAAGTTAATGTGCTGTTTATGAAACATTAAGAAATGGTAGTAAAGAATGGATATTTTTTAATTTTAAAAAGTTCTGCTTGACAATCAAATAGACCTTGGCTCTTACTGCGTTTTTCTGCCATAGATTGCTTAGTGCTCTATCGAGGAAGATAGTGTCATTCTCCTCCAGGTATAGATGGGAAAACTGAGGCATAGAGAGGTGAAGTGACTTGTCCAAAGTCATATAGGGCAATGATGGAACCCTGGTTTCATAAGTTTCAGTCCAGTGCCATATCCACTAGATTACACTGCCTCCCATTTTTGTACCTCTAAAACCTTTTCTGGGTGTTTGTGAACATTTCGCAAGGATTTCAGTTGGAATACCCTCAAAAGGATTATTTCTGTGAGCAAGGGTTTACAGAATTGGGCCATTCAATTAAAGATATATTTTGTATCATCACATTGTTGGGTCTCAATTTAATAGTAATCACTCAGGAAAAAGATCTCAATGTGGACAGCTCAATGAAAATCTCCGATCAATATGTAGTGGCAGTCAAAAAGGAGAAATAAAGCCCCAAATTTATTTGTATTACAGTAGTTCCAAAGGTCACAATCATATCTGCTCCATTATGCTAGGCTTAATGTACATACACACAATAAAAGAAAGTTCCTGCCTCCAAAGAGTTTGCATTGTTAAGGCTCCTATTTAGTACATCTATCCAAGTATTTGTTAACCCTATACAATATAGTGTTCTCAAAGAAGATTATAATTTGAAAGATACATATTTGTTCCCACATAATTTTGTTTAGTGAAAGATAATTTGCAAAACATTCAAAATAAAAATACCACACCTCTTGTGATTAGCTACTTGACAGTGTTTCTTTTGTACTCTGGATTAAAAATTGAAATGATAGGTGTTAAACTTTTAATGAATTAATTAGTAAAATATTTATTTACTTAGTGCAAATGAAAATATTTGATAGGAATGTAACTTGTACTTTCCCCTCTTTCTTTATATAGTTTAAAATGCCAGCAGGGTCTTCTGGTAGATTTCTCTGCTTTTCCGCAAAGATTTATAGATCTACTTCAGCAGTGCATTCAGGAACAAAACAAAGATACCCCAAGGTAAGTAACGTTTTGGTACCACGTTACCAACTTCTAAAAAACATTTCTTAAACAAAACACACAATAGGCCAAGCACTCCAAGAAGCAATATAAGACCAAGGAAAGTCAATGGGATTTAGGCTTCAAGTGCCTAAATCACTTTTGAAAATGAGAATTTTCACTTTAGTGCCTTTGAAAATGTTACCCCTTATGCAGTGTGTTTTATTTTTACAAAGTTCTTTTAAAGTGCATGCATCTTTAGAGGTTTTTTATTTGCAATTTCAAATGTAACATGAGTTTTATAACTTTTATAAAATCTCAGAAAAAGCGAAGACTACAAATCCACTGGCTTTTTTATTTATTATGCATACAGGAATCTTTTTGGTCCGAGCATTATATGATATTTATGTGAAGATACTGTTTTTCTATCGGATTCCCTTTTATATTAACATAACATTAATTTGGTAAAGATTTCTGCCCTGATCCTGCAACTGTATCCAAGCAGGTGGGGCTTCTGGAACTGTACAGATCCAGTTGTGTGATAAGTGCCTTAATGATTATTATTTTGTAAAGTGAAAAAAAGCCTGGAACTTACAGATAGTCTGTAAACAGAGATGTTATGTATTAAATGTGGTTCTATTTTGTTTGTTTTTTTAAGGTTTTTGCTGCAATTAGTTTCTTCAGCATCTGTTTTAGATCACACACCTGCTTTTTTAAATGTAGTGGAGACAAACCCATTTAAACATTTGACACATCTCTCACTAAAATTCCTGCCAGGAAATGATGCAGATATAAAGAAGTTTTTAGCAATCTGTTTGAAATGTATTAAGGTAAGATGATAGATTTGTAATATTCGTAATTAGGTCCTGATCCTCCAAACACTTAACATTGTGGCTTTTATTTTAATTTTTTTGTTGTTAATTTTAGTTCATGTTGTGGCTTTGCACGTACTTATATAGGTACATATTGTAATTAAATCAATACACTCTCTCTCTGAGGCGCGTGTATATTTAAAATAGAGCTATCAAATGATAAAAAAATCACAATTAATTGCGAGATTTAAAAAAAGTCACGATTAATCACACTATTAATACAATACTAATTTAAATTTATTATGAATACTTTTGGATGTTTTTCTACATTTTCTAATATATTATTTTCAATTGCAACACAATACAAAGTGTACCGTGCTTACTTTATATTATTTTTGATTACAAATATTTGCACTGTAAAAAAGAGAGTGCAATCTACAAGTCAAAGCATGAAGGGGCATACGAATGTTTAGCATATCTGGCACATAAATACCTTGCAATGCCAGCTACAAAAGTGCCATGCGAATGCCTGTTTTTACTTTCAGGTGACATTGTAAACAAGAAGCAGGCAGCATTATCTCCCGTAAATGAAAACAAACTTGTTTGGCTGAATAAGAAGTAGGACTGAGTTTTACATTTGTTTTGTTTTTGAGTGCAGTTATGAAAAAACAAAAATGATAGAGCTAGCACTACCGTACTTGTATGAGGTGAATTGAAAAATACTATTTCTTTTGTTCAGTGTATTTGAAAATGCAGAAACATCCAAAAATATTTATAATAAATTTAAATTGGTATTTGTTATTGTTTAACAGTGCGATTAAAACTTTAACTATATTTAAAAATAGTAGTGATTAACTAATTTGTTTTGTTAATCTCTTGAGTTAACTGCAATTAATAATGGCCCTAATTTTAAAACAAAATCTGATAATCTGAATTGGCAGAAATTAGACACTTTGGATATTTGATGAATGTGGTAATGCAATTGTTGAGTTAAATGAGCCTCTCAGTATTGGCTGCTTCATGGCTTTGTGCTGACCCGCTATACAAATGCAAGAGTGAAATACTTGAAAGTTAAGGATTTTGATCCTGCTGTTGGATCTACACGCGCATACCCATGCGTAAGTACAGAGCCTTCTTTAATTCAGTGGGGTTTCATTTGCCATTTATAGATTGGAAAATGATGTTGATGTGCTTGGTAGCATATCAGGTTTAAATAATGTTATGAAATGAACAATGATCTCAGAGTTTGAAAAATCTTCAGCCTACAGTCCAGATCTCACTAATTTCTTCACATGTAATTTTTGTCTCCTTTTTATTTTAGTGCAATGTAAATGTAAACTGCCTCTGTAACATAAACTGTTTTTAAAAGAAAAGGTTCACAAAGATTATCCCCATAACATCTAGGTCAGGGTCTAAGTTCAGTCTAAGCTGTGTGGCTGTGCAGCAGGCTATCAAGGGCCATGCAGGCACACAGCAGGGAGAGGTGACTGTTCCCCGGCCCCAGCCTTGGAGCTGCCGTGGGCAGGGAGAGGGCTGTGGGGAGTCCTCTTTCCCCGCTGCAGCCCAGGAAAGCCTGTACCCCAAAACCCTCATCCCCCAACCCCACCCCAGAGCCTGCATTCCCAACCCTGAGCCCCTTCCCACACCCAAACTCCCTCCCAGAGCCTGCACCCCCTCCTGCATCCCAAATCCCTCATTCCCAGCCCCACCCCAGAGCCCGCACCCCCAGCCAGAGCCCTTACCCCCGTACCTCAACCTCTGTCCCCGCCCTGAGCCCCCTCCCACACTCTGAACCCCTGGCTCCGGCCACATATCCCCTCCATAGTGGTGCACATATCAAAATTAATTCTGCACATAGAGCTGGGGGCAGTACTGCCTTTAGAGCTGGGCACCTGGCTGGCAGCCGGAGCCCCTGCATGCATGGGGGCGGGCAGCTTTCGATCCTCCCGTAATAACCTTGCGACTCCCAGTTGAGAACCCCTCATCTAGGTATTAATGCAACTACTTTTCAAACAATAGTTTAAAGTGTGAAGATCCTATTTTCTTGGGGAAATTTTGGGGAAAACTTGATTCAGAATTGTCTGCGTTTGTACTGAATTACTTTTTTACAATTGAAAAAAGGTTTTTATTTTAGGATTCATGAAAATATACAACTTAGTATTTAGGCTGTCTTGGTAAGACTTTGTTACTGGCATAATGGACATGTATTTTTGGACTTTACATGTAGAAATAATGGAATATAGATGCTAAATAATGTTTCTAAATTGGAAAATAAGATTGTATAGATTTAAAATGTCAATTATATGTAGGAAGAAAAGTCATTATTGGAACAAAAGTTTAAAAAAACTGAAGATGACCTTACCAGACAGCTGAGCTACACACAGCAGGTAATTGACTTATGCCTTCCTGCCTTTGGTATAATATGTGTTCAGTCTTCTGAATTTTCTGTATAGCGTACCACATGTAAAGGTATATTACTAATTGTAGAATTTCAGTAGGGTCCAGTTTATAGAACACTTTGTAAAATATTATCTTTTCTTGTTTCGTATCTAATCTTATATCTGTGCATTTATTTTGAATTTTTTGGCCTGTGGAGTATTTACTGCTGGTGACCCATAGATGTCTGGCTGGTTACATGGTGTTGAGAAACCACCAATTTTGGCAGGGCAGAAGGAGGAGAAGTGAAGTTCAAAAGTAGCCAGTGTGATGAACAGTTCTGAAGAAAGGTCAAAACATCATACTAAAGACAACTAAAAACACTTTACTTTTCCCTGCAAGCACTTGCTGTGGTTGCCATAGGAATATTATGTGCTCAGAAATATGAGAATAAGTAGTTCACAAGACTGTCTCTACATTGAAATGTCACACAATGAAGATATTTTGGAACTCTTTACTTTGTGTTCTGTATGAAGCAAAGAAAAAAATTATTAAAATTGTGGCTATTTATGTTCTAAAATTCTATTTAAGATAGATGGTGGGCCCTGTTGCGGTTTCACTTCTTTTTTAGAGGATGACGGCTGTGGGTCATACGGTAAAAATACAGACTGAACTTTGGTCACTAAAGAGAGAGAGAGCCTTAATGTTCCTTTTTTCCCCTTCTGTGGACTTGTCAGACAGTTGACATTTTAAAAACACATTAACTTTTTATAGAATTGGAACTGCTGTACACTTCTGTTGTTGCAAATTTAAAAGAAAAATGCTACCAAGTAGTATATTTTTCATACTGAAAAGTTGGTATTTACAGCGCTGTGGCGTGGCTGAGTGTGTTCACTCTTTCTTCCACTTGATAGGAGAGAGTACCATGCTGTGGTTAGGGCATAAGGTTGGGAATTATGATTCTTTTACCAGCTCTGTCATTGTTTGATGACCCTAATTCCCATCTGTAAAGCTGAGATGTATGTCACTGGGTGGTGTGAGGATTCAGTTAGTTCTGTAAAGCACTATGAGATCCTTGGATGAAAATCACAATATAGTGCAAAGTATTGTTCAGTATAATATGATACATTTTTCAAGATTCTTTATGCTGTCTCAACAAACACAGAGCTTGTCAGAAAAGAGCCGGGAATTAGATAAGCTGAGAAGTGAATGGACGTCACATACAACAACGCTAACAAATAAGCACACTCAGGAATTGACAAATGAGAAGGAGAAAGCTCTCCAGGTATGAGAACTGAAGGAAAAACAAACCAAAAATATAGGTACACATTTAGTAGTTTCTTAGTTTAAGGTTAGTTTCACTGAAGCACTTCTTCCTTTGTTTTCCAACTTCTTTTTTCATTACAGGTGCAGACTCAGTACCAACAACAACATGAACAACAGAAAAAGGAACTGGAAAGCTTGCATCAGAAAAGTATCCAACAGCTACAGAATCGACTGTCAGAACTAGAGATTGCCAACAAGGACCTAACAGAAAGGAGATACAAAGGAGACTCCACAATTAGAGAACTTAAAGCAAAACTCTCTGGGATAGATGATGTATGGAATGTTCATTTTTATTTTCAAATCTATATTTGTATAGGGATAACACAATCAATACACTCACACGATATACAGTGCAATCTGTGAAAATACAGCAAATGTTCAGGTTGTGGGAATCCATACTTTAGGTTCTGAAGTATTTATTTTTATTACCTATTTCTATTGTCTTATTGATATCCTTGGTAAGAGTTAGATATGGTTATTCAAACTTAAGGTATTGCAGTGTTTTTGTTTTGTTTTTTGTTTTGAAAATATTTTTTCCAAACATTCTAGGAGTGCCAGAGAGCAAAGCAAGAAGTGCTGTCGTTGCGTCGGGAGAATGCTACTCTGGATGCTGAATGCCATGAAAAAGAGAAACACATTAATCAGCTACAAACACGAGTTGCTGTTTTGGAACAAGAGATCAAAGATAAGGACCAGCTAATTATTAGGACAAAAGAAGTATTAGATGCAACACAAGAACAAAAGGTTCTGTTAGTTTCTAAATATACTGTTTCTAAAGTAGTGTAGAACCATGCTTAATTGCTGTTCACAACTGGGCAATTGTGGATTATCCGATTTTGTGAACTGGCAAATAGATGATCAACCATGATTTAAAGAATTAAGGTTACAGCATTGCAAAATACAATTACAGTTACAATTATAGTACGTTGTAGTCCAACAGTAAATATACACTACTTTTACAAAATATATTCATCTCTTACTATTAGATTTTGCTGACATATGAGACTGAATTTTTCTGTTTAAAAACTAGATTAGTGATGTGAAAATTAGTGAGGTGGTTCTTCTAGTAGCGTCCCTATGGGTGCTCCACTTCAACTGTGCATGTGCCCCATTGCATCTTCTATCAGAAATTTTAGGTAGCAGTTCCCGTTTGGCCTTTACATGCATTCTACTCTGACTCATGCTCTGTACCGTGTCTGTATAGAGCTGCATGGGCAGACTGCCTTCAGTTTTTTCTCAGCTGCCTTGGGCTAAGATGGAGCCTCAGAAGTATCATAGAATATCAGGGTGAAGTGTCTGAGTTGAGCTTATTTCAAGTAGGTTTTATTTTTCCAAATAGTTTTACATAGCTAACTAGTTGTAGTGATAGTAGATGATGATGGTAGTAGTAATAAATTAATTATTATTATTGACGTCCTTTCAGGGTTTTGTTCCCTGCAGGGAACTTTAGGTTGCTGAGAGGGTGTGCCCAGCTCTTCAGGTTTTACAGATTGACTTTCATGCCGGCAGGCTATCCTGGTGAGCGATGGGCACTCCCAGTGCATCCATTACCTTGAGAAGTCACACGTCCCCCAGAAGTGTAACTTTTGCCTGGCATGAAAATCAAGAGCCAGCAAGAACCTGGAGATTAAATTGCACTGCCTCATGATGGAGAGCTGTCTGTCTAGTTTCTGAAACAGGCTAGGAGACCTCCTTCATACATTGGTCTCCAAGCAAGTTGAGCTCTTCAACCACTTTGGCGTAACACTCCCTTAGAGCTTCTAAGAGGGGAAAACTCAAGAATCCTCTCAAAAAGACTCTAGGAAAAGGAGCTCGGGTTCCCCAGATAGGGAATCTACTTCAAAGAAGCACTGGTCGCCGATTGAGACAACTGCTTTTGCGCCTGTTGGTTCCTGACTCAGTACCCACAAGACTGCAGGTTCCTCAGGTACTGTGACCACCACTAAAACCAAAGAATCTAAAGGTTCCAGCACATCATTGGTACTATCAGGAGATTGAGCTGACAAGGAGAAGAAGACTGTCTCTTCTAAGTTAGTACTCAAAGAATCAGCCAGGTTCTTGGAACCTTCCATTTCAGTACTGCAGAAGACCAGACTATCATCTAATGGTCGTTCCTTGGAGTGCATAAAGCCTACAGTGTCATTTGCTCCATCTACCAGAATCACCTCTGCTCAGGCTGCAGCCTCAGTACTGACTGCCATGTCGATACTGCAGGAGGTTAAATTTTCACAGCACCTCACAGTGACAGAGATGCCTGACTCCCCTTTGTTTGGTACTGAGGACCTCTGAGTCTCCAGACATTCACCCAGTACCGACAGTCACCACCTTTTTCTACTGGTGCTGTTTGAAGTCATCAACCTGCAATGGTGAAGGAATCATAACTACTTTATCTGGGGATGAAGAGGAGATGTTGTTAGTAGGGTGACCTTGTTCTCTGCTTTCACCTTCTGCTCCTCAAAAGTCTCTCCTTGTGGTTCAGGGCTTCAAGAGAGGATGGGAAGGATTGTTTAGCCTTATCATGGCAATGAGTGATGCTAGGGGTCCTAGAGAATTTTTGGCAATATGTCACCAATTGATCCCAGTACAGCAATTGAGTGGGCCCATGGGGTATAGGTGGGGGCATCCATGAGTGCTCATGCTATTGGGATGGAGTTTGAGGGTGTCTCTCAAATATGTTCCATTTCCCTAGCAGTCTCCAGAAAAATACTCCTCTGATAGTGAGGAGGGGAAACCTGAACCAGAATTTGGTTGGTAGTCACCTGAAGTGGAGGACCCATAGGGACACTATTTAAAGAAGGAGTGGTTACTCACCCTGTTCAGTAACTAGTTCTTTGAGATGCCCTCCTATGGGTGCTTCAGTACTCCACGTCCTTGCCCTCTGCTTCGGATTTCTCTGCTGTGGATCTTTGTGGTAGAGAAGGAATTGAGGGTGGGTCACCTGCACAGATCTATTTAGCCATGTTGCAGAGTACTAGGCATAGTAGAGTGCATGCATGGGTCAAACAGGCACTGCTAGCTAAAATCTCCAATTTGAAGGTGCATGCCCACCTGAAGTGGAGCGTCCTTAGCAGGGATTCCAAACTCAAATCACCACGAGGGCCCCATGAGGACTATTACATTGGCCTGAGGGCCGCATCACTGAAACCATTTCATACAATGATACAAAAATATAGTCAAAAATGAAAAAAATGAAGAGTACTGTAGTATGCTATTAAAAGTCAATGTATTAACTTTTTTTAAACGGTAATGCGAAGAGGGGTTTTAATAAAATTTAAATACCTGTAACTATTCCCTATGTGGTCAGTAACAATGATGATCTACACTAACAGTCTGTCAACATAGATGTAATGGCAGGAACTTTTTTTAAAGTAACTATTCATACAAAATACGTTGCCACTTTTTTAACAAACATTCTTCCCAACTACTCACAGCAAAGAATCATACATGCTGAACTTCATACCTCAGACTGCTCATCTAGTCCATGAGGCCCTGCCTCTTCCCACCCATTCCCAGCCCCCATTCCAACCCCTTCCCCAAAGTCTCTGCCCCCTTCCCCAAATCCCCGCCTCTTCTCCATCTCCTCCCCTGAGCGCCCGCGTCCCTGCTGCTCCCCCTCCCTCCTGGAAAGTCCTAAGTGCTGCCAAACAGCTGTTTTGTTGGCAGGAAGCGCTGGGAGGTAGGTGGAGAAGCGGGGATGCGGTGCGCTCAGGGGAGAGCGGGGGTGAGGGGGAGCTTGGCTGCTGGTGGAGTCGGCGCCTATGGCGGGTTGCAGGAAATAACTCTGCGGGCCATGTGTTTGAGACCCCTGGTCCATAGGGACCACATCTCGAACAACTACAGTGACTGCACAGGGGGAGTAAACCCTCTCCCGTCTAATGCAAATTTTAACGAGCTTGATCTAAATCAGATTTAAGTATTGTGCTCTTTTTTTTCTTTTTTTTTTTTAAAGAAGCACAAAACCTTGCTAATGGAAAACCTTTTGATTTTTTTAAGGTGATACTGGAAGAAAATACAGAGAAGAAACAAGTTCATGTAGGAAAACTTGAAGCAACAATAAAGTCATTATCGGCTGAACTTCTTAAGGTTTGTTTAAACATGAAATTGTCCTAATCATGGGATTTCTTCATTTAATTTTATGCATTGTTGTTTAATTTAGAAATGATTCTTGTTTAATAGGCTAATGAAATTATCAAGAAGTTACAAGGAGATTTGAAAACGCTAATGAGTAAATTGAAATTGAAAAATACAGTAACAATTCAGCAAGAAAAACTCTTGGCTGAAAAAGAAGAGAAACTACAGAAAGAGCAAAGGGAACTTCAGGAGACTGGACAATCTCTTCGAGTAAAAGAGCAAGAGGTAACTTAATGCATTATCTTAAGCTGTAACCATTTATGTATGTGCTTTAAATTAAGCATGCGTTTAAGTGTTTGCAGGATTAGCCTTGAATTGCTGTCTGTAAAACTGAATGACTTTACCCACTTATGAAATGGTTTATTGAAACAGAATTCTGGCAAATGTTAGTGTAGTGTATTTTTCTGGTTGGTAAAAACATAGAGGGAATAGAGAGCCCAGTTGAAGCAAAACTCTCAAATTTTAGTAACAGCACTAAATTTGACAAATTGGGAAGTCCAAGAAAAATAGCTAAAATAATTATAAACTTAATTGTTTGGATCAATATGCTTTTTACCTAAAGAGACATTCAAATTAAAAAATAATTGTTTTTTTTTTTAAGAGGGAGATTTTCTTGTATTACTTAGATAAAATATGAAAGATTTAAAAAAAAGAAAGTTTCGCCCACTGTTTTTAGGCTCTATGCTTTATTTGCATTTGGTATTTTATTCAGTTCCAAGAATGAAAACATACTGGTCAGTTCAGTTTCTGGTTCTCTTGCATGTTTAAAACACTTCATGAATGTGGTTTGGAACTGCAAACTTCATATCTGGACAGAACTTCCAGCAAAGACAGCAGGAGTTCAGGGCCATCTCAGATTTCAGTTACTATTAGGGTTAGCAAACCTTTTAACAAAAGCTAACTCCTACAATGAAAACTCTTTACCTTGTTACCTCTTTAAATACAAATAGAGAGAGGATACTGTATTTGAATAGGGCTAGAATTTACAGAGTACAAAACGTTCAGTGAATGCAACGGAGTGTACAGAGCTATGAATCAACATACTTCTGAAGGGCAGAAACAGGCAAAAGCTGAGAGAGAGATTTTTCAAAGGCATAAATAGTTGCCCAGTGCCAACTGACACTTTTTTGCCTTGAAATCAATGCCAAGAAAATAAGGATCTTTTCATTGTGTAATCACACCCCTTTTGTACTACGATTAATTGTGAATCTAAATCAAAGCAACACTGAAAGATAAGATCAACTGTACTTCCAAATCCTTGATATTTATTTCCACTGTTTTCTTCAGTTTTTAATCATTGATATTTCTTGATTATGCTTGACGTAATTAGTATGGAAATATTTCAGGTATGCAAGTTGCAAGAACAGTTAGAAACTACAGTACAAAAACTGGAAGAAAGCAAGCAACTGCTAAAAACCAATGAAAATGGTAGGTTTACTGGATTCCTTCTTTAGGTCTCTCTCTCCTTGTTTTTGTTACACGTAGGGGAATTCTTCACCACTGCACATGCACAGAATTTGATCCCCTCAGATTTCTTTGCTTCCTCGCAGAAAAATGACTGATGGGGAAGCCACAAGAGTGGTCATGTGACCCCTCCCCAGCACTATGTTTTGGGTGCCCAGGGCAGCCAGCAGAGGGGTGAATCTCTGTGGGGCAGGGGGCAGGACTGGAGAAGACCCTGCGCCAGGCTCAGCTGCTAGTCCCAGCTGGGCTGGGGAGGACAGGACTTCCTCTTCCTCCTAATCAACACAAATGATTAGGGGTCTAGAACACATGACTTATGAGGAGAGGCTGAGGGAGCTGGGATTGTTTCGTCTGCAGAAGAGAAGAATGAGGGGGGATTTGATAGCTGCTTTCAACTACCTGAAAGGGGGTTCCAAAGAGGATGGCTCTAGACTGTTCTCAATGGTAGCAGATGACAGAACTCAAGTTGCAGTGGGGGAGGTTTAGATTGGATATTAGGAAAAACTTTTTTCACTATGAGGGTGGTGAAACACTGGAATGCGTTACCTAGGGAGGTGGTAGAATCTCCGTCCTTAGAGGTTTTTAAGGTCAGGCTTGACAAAGCCCTGGCTGGGATGATTTAGTTGGGGATTGGTCCTGCTTCGAGCAGGGGGTTGGACTAGATGACCTTCTGGGGTCCCTTCCAACCCTGATATTCTATGATTCTTCACAGTATCTGGGGCCATGTCAGACCCACCCCCAGATTTCTCCCCTGGCTGCAGGAAGCTCTACAAACTCCCTCCCACTTTCCCTCCACGCTTCCTGCACCCATTGCTCCTCAGCTGCAGGGGGAGGGAATCACTGTACACTGATCACTGTTCATCACCCCGATGAACCACCTGCACCTGGATCCTCCTGTAGAGTCCCATGACCGTTGTACCCAGAGCCCCCTAACAAGCCCCTTTGCATCCAGATCCTCCTTCCCACTCGGATCCCTCACTGAGCCGCCTGCACCCAGATTGCCCCTCACACAACTCTCTCAACCCACACCTGGATTCCCCCCCACTGAGCCCCTCCAAACTTGGATCCTGCTTTGCTGAGCCTGTCTGCCCCACACCTGGTGTACCTGGCAGAGAGTGGCAGGGCCCTAGGGTTTTTCTGGGGAAGGCCCTGTCCTTGTGCTGTGTCAGGGTTGGGTGCAGCCTCATCACTGAGTCCGTGTCCTTGGTGGGAGCTGCACAGTGATCTCCCACCTCTTTCCAGCCAGTGGCCTGTGCTTGCCAATGCCATGCTGGGGTCTCCACATTTATTTGACAAATAAAATTTGCAGAATTTTAAAATATTGTATGCAGAATTTTTAATTTTTGGCACAGAATGCCCTCAGGAGTAAAATTTTGTATTAAAAACATTTTATTTCATCGTGAAGCTAGAAAGATTGCTCATTTCTATCATGGCATACTTGTGATTTCCTGCTGTTCCCCTCCGCTCCCGCCATCCCACAGCCCACAAGGATCAAACAATTTAGTAACCGTTCAGTTCAGGTTTCCAGTGTATTATAGTAGCCCTAATTTGTTTGGTGTGGTTCTTCACATAAAACAGAATTTCCCTTACAACTTTCTAAGTGTTACATTTTAGAATTTGAGAAAGTGTACATGCGATTCTAAATTTAAGCTACATGACCACATGTAAAACAAGAATTGCACAGATAAGTTACAAATTGATGCTTTGAAAATATAGGCTTCAGTTGTGCATCCTACTAATACACATGCTTAACTTTAAGCAGGTAAAGAATTTCATTGAAGTCCGTGGGAAAGCTTACATGCTTAAAGTTATGTATGTTTGTAGATCTCTTACTCTTTATGGGGCATAATCCAAAGCATATTGAACTCAATGAACTTAAATCCAGCTACGGGGTCTCTAATTATTATATGCTTACCTCCCTATAGTTGTGGGTTCTAATTAATACTCTATTGCTGTTCTATGAAAAATTAAGTAATAGGTTATAATAATGGACATTTAAAAGATGACTATGCTCTTTAAGGAACCTGATTTTTTTTTAAGCCATTTTTAGCAGTAGATGGTTGAAGGGGGAAAGTTAATCAGGCCTGTTACGTTTGAGAGATAGGACTTTGCGGGGGCGGAGGGGGCGAATATAATACTAATATAACATGAAATAGAATCATTCACATGATTTCTTGACGTAGTTTATGTTAGATTTACAGTACTAATAAAAGGGATGGAAAACGAATTGCTTGAAAATTAGAGTTTTACTCCTTTTTCTATATAGTAATCACATGGTTAAATAAGCAACTGAATGAAATTCAGATGGCAAGAAAGCAAGAGATATTGGGAACGTCTACCATTCCACTTATACATTCAAGCAATGGCACTATTAAAACTGGCACTTCACCTCACAATATGGTAAGCTATCCAAATTTATAAAACTTTGTACTTTCTGTACATTTTTAGAATAAAGATACATGCCAAGTGAAGTGCTTACCGTACCTAGGAGAAATGCTTTGGTATTTGAATTTTTCTCATCATGTTGTGCACTGTTAATGGATGCAACAAAGTTACTAGTATCATAAATAAGAACTTCCTAAATTCTCATTGTCTTGAATAAGCGATATAAACTGTTAAAATGCACAAATATGTACAATGCGTTTGGGCTAGTGAAATAGCATATGCTAAAATGGGCATGCATCTACACGTCTAATATTCTTAAGATCCTTCTCTAAAATGAGTCAAGAATGTCCTTCTCAAACAGTCCATTACACCGCACTTACACCAAACACCAGAAATTGTATGTGAATAGAAAGATAGGCTATATAACACATGCTAGACATGCCACCAAGCAAAGGTCATAAAGTATTCTGGGTTGCTCTTTATATAACTAAGAGTTATTTACCTGGTGGAAGGGGATGTACAGGTATTTTTCCTCTGCCTGGAGGACCTAGAGCTTCTGCTAATCTGGTAAAACATATATATATATAAAACTACATGCAGAATGTCCCTTTCACTTTTGAATTTAATATGAAATTAGAATTTAAAAATCTGCCAACACACAGAAAAACGATTACAACACTAATAGAAATTGCATAAGAAAAAGTGTGGGTGTCTTGCTCTTAGACATCTTCATACTTCTAGAAATGGTTACTAACAAATGTTCCAGATAGTCATTAATTTTTACATGAACATAACTTTTTAACTTAGGGCTAGTGAGGTATTTTAAAGAGCACAAGGGAAATGAGGAGTAAAAAATTCTTATAAAATGTTCTTGTTTAAAGAGACCAAATTAAAGTAGGCCTGCTGGCTCTTAAGATGTGTGGTACAATGCTTTCAAGGAGTTCTCAAATCTATCAGTCAGTGTTTATTTGGTTGGTTGTTTTTTTTTTTTGATTCAACATATCTAGCACATGCCCATTTTACCTCGGCTAGCAGGTTTTACTTCTCTATTGTTCTGTTCCCCTTCCAGTAACTAAGGCCTGTAGATCTGCAGCCATTTAATCTTAAAAAAAAAAAAAAAAAAAACACAACAAAAAACCCAACTTGTTTGCATTGCTACATTTTCTCTTTGATGCACAGTCTTGTGTGACTTACATACACTTGTAATAAGAGTATAGTCAAGAGTATATTAGTCAAATCTTGTGGTTTGTTGTTAGAGGGAAAAGTGCTAGTAAAATAATGCTTACCTTGTCTAGTATCTGCAAGTATTCCTTTTAAGAATGTAAACCAATTTCTTCCCTGTACTTTAGTCACTATAATGTATAAACATTAATTTGTGGTAATATTTTGTGACTACAAAGGTCAGTTTTAAATTTTTACATCTGGGCTCAGTGAAATGAAATGCTCATTGAAGCCTGCCAGGCATGATTACCCAGTAAGAATACTAATGCCTAGCTCTTATATAGCACTTTTCATCAGTGGTTCTCTACATTCTTTACAAAGGAGGTCTGTCTCCTTATCCTCATTTTACAGTTGGGGAAACTTAGATACTAAGAGGTGAAATGCCCTTCCTAAGGACACCCAGCAGACCAGCGGCAGAGCTAGGAAGAAAACCCAAGTCTCCTGAGTCCCAGTTTAGTGATCTTGAATGTCTGGTTTCTACTTTAAGTGAATCACTATTAAAAAGAAAACTAGAGATGCTGGAACTAGAGATGCATACATAGATTTTGATTTTCTACTGTTGCACTGCTGTTTCCTCCTCTTTCTACATTTTTATTTTTCTCTCTTACAGCTTGACAACAGACTCCGTTTTACTAGCTCAGGAATCAGTTACCCCATCTCTCCAGTATGTGCTTTCCAAAACTTTCCAGAAACAGCACCTGTGAAAAGTGCCAACCAGCAGGTTTCAGGACCAAAGGCAGGCGTTTATTTTTACTTCTGTGCTCAAGACAAACATTTCTAATCATATATTTCTGAACAGTTTGACTTAATTGGCTATTTCCAAAAATTATTAACACAGTATGCTATGTGATATGGTTTTTATGTTAAGTGACAGCAAGAATTTGGCTATAAACACTAAATTATTTTAGTGGTGGTAATATTTGGCATTTTCAACAGTTTACAAACCCTAATTTTCATGACTCTCCTGTAAGGTATTTTCCACCTTGTCATGAATTCTCCTTTGAACAAAAGCTACACAGCAAATTAGTTGTAGTGTTAAACCTAGAACACGAGAATTCCTGGCAGTTACCTCTGGTTTTCAGTCTAATATACCATACTGTCTCCCAAATGTAACTTCCCTAATTTCTATTTGATTATAGTAAACGTCCTACTGTAAACTAGTGAGAAAGAAGTTATCAAAGTCAGCAAGGTTCCCTTTTCAGTTGTCTGTATATCTTCGTGTTCTTTATTCCTTACAGAAGTAGTTTGTAGTACACTAAACACTTCATATATTCTATACAATTTGGGATTGAAATTACTATAGCTCAGTGCCATAGCATCACTATTTCAGAGTATCCCGATGGCATGGGTGTGGCCTTGCAAGCATCCCACTCTTTGATTCCTCTTCTCAGGGCTCCTCAAGTATACTTCTCCAACACTGTCTTAGCTAATAACTAAAGCTAAGATTTTGTCATGGCTATTTTTAGTAAAAGTCACAGACAGGTCATGGGCAATAAAGAAAAATTTATGGAAGCCCATGACCTGTCCCTGACTTCTACTAAAAATTTCCATGACAAAATGGGAAGCAGTTGTGGGGGGCTGGCTGGGAGCTCCAGGGACCCCCATCACCTGTGGGGACTTGGAGTTGCGGGGGTCCCCCTGCCACCTCCAGGGTGGTGGGACTCTGCAGTTCCCAGCCACCGCAGGCTGAAGTCATGGAGGTCTTTGGTCTGACAAAACTGTAGCTTTACTAATGACACCCATGTCATGGAGTAATATATTAATAGGGGCACCTCGAATCACAAACTAAAGTTCAATACCGTAACTCAAAAGGGTTGGGCTTTGCCGCCGCCTTACACTCCAGGCTCTACTGTCCTTCAGACTAGAGGGCTCTCAGATTTAACTGTGGAGTCCCTTCCTAGAGTTCAAAGGCTCCAACCAAGCAATAATGCAAACAATGTCTGCCCACCTTGGGCTTAATAAAAGTCCTATGTCCCTCCTGGATTCGATCTCTGCTCCCTGCCCTTGTACATGAGAGTGGCCAAAGAGGTGTTTCCAGCATCTCCTTCTGCTATCCAGGCCTCCTGGCTTCTGGCCTGTCTTCCTATTCCCAGAGAGGACCTGCAAAACTTTCTGCTCTCTGCAGCCTCTTCCTGCTGCTCTTTATGGATAGGCTTGGAAAGATGAGATTTTCATCAGTAAATGTCAATTTCACCGTACACGCACAAAGCCACCCAAAAATATATTTCCATCAATAATAATCAAAATTTACAGATCAGCAAAGTAAGAAAAATGCTGCTTGAGACGTTTGTTGGATTCAAGGATATTTACTTTGTATATCTGTGTGTGGTTATAAAGCTTTAATGTGTTGAGTCTCAGCATGTGTTGTCATTAAATAATTGTCTGATTCCCCCATACTTTGAAAATTTAAATGTATTACATTGAAAAAAAAAAAAAGCTTTAAATGAACAATTGTTATCCAATGACCTTTTTTAAAAAATGAATTCTGCTGAGTCTCTTTTTGGGAGAACACCTTTCTCCTGCTCAGCTGGATCAGTTTAATGAACAGGGCTAGCTTGGCCCCATGCTCTTAAAGTGGCAGACTGCCCTATTACACTCCGCAAAAGACTTACCTTACTAAAAACAATCAAACCTGATGTTTCAGAAAAAAACACCGAATACTAAAGACACCAAAACTTTAAACAAAGGCTTTCTTGGCAAATGTCAGCTTTACTTTGGCATAACTGACTTCAATCAGATATCAGTCAGCACTATATTAGTGGGCTGTAAGCTGCTGCTCTACCCTAAATCTTAAATTTAACATAATTTAAATAATTGAGAAGCAGGAACTATTTCCTGTTTATATTGGATAACAAACCATGTTGCTATGTATCAGTAATTCACCCTGTGCTATCCTATTTATACACAGCAGATTTGTCAACTGAATTGCTTCTTTGGTTTATATCTATACTATTTTATTTGTTAAGCATTTGCTAAACATGGTGTGGAACCTTATTGCCCTGAAGTGCTCAGTCTGACAAAAGTCCTCAGTCTATACATTTTCTTGGTGCATAATCATATCTGGATCCAAACTGTTGAATGTGTGAAACCTTTGATCTTTTGGCAGGTTCAGTTTAACGTGCAGCTTTCAAAAACTAATAGAAGTTCAGACATTCAGCCAGGATTTCCTATTGCAACTGGTCATTCAACAAATAAAGAAAAGTGAGTATCATGATGATTGTGCCCATAGATATTATTTTGAGGTCCAATTCTCAGAGAACTCAGCCCAGCCTTTCTAAAATTGTTGGACATTTTTTTTTTCAAAAGTTTTTTTTTTATACCCAAGTTTGTGAATACACATTGTATTGTTATGTTCCAGTGAGCATGCACAGACTTACACTCACAAAATAAACCTGTAATTTTAGAGGCTACTTTTGAAAATGTGGTCCTCTGTCCAAGTGTCTTTGGAAGTAGTTTTTTTTTTGTTTTATGAATAATTCTGAAGAAGCCATATTTCATTTCTAGTGAAATATTAAATTGTCTTGTTTGCAGATTTACCTATCTCCCTCCCCACCACCACCACCCCCCAAAAAAGTCCGTGTCAATTCCTTTTTAAAGTAGTCTAATTTTTTCATTATTCAGCTCTCTTGGGATACACTACAGAAACCAAACTTTGTCAGATAGCACTAATGACTTTAAATATGGCTGTACCTGACCCTGTATTGTGACAATTCTGTTCTTTAGTGGAGGTCCACAATAGCGGTGATATTGGTATGTGGGAGCATCAGCTTAATGGGGGCCAGCTACTCTGGAAATGGATGTCATAGTGACCTGAAAAGTAGAGTGAGGACAATGAATGTTCATTTGTTGAAATGCTGACTGCCCTAGCAAGTCTGGCTAGTGATGGCATTCAGAGCCTATTGCTTAAAGTGATGTGACTAGTAATTCCATTTGCAGATGAAGTCTGATTTCTTTATTCCAGTTTACCAGGATGGTGCTGGAGTGTACAAATAGTGGGTGGTTTTAGAAATCCTACAATGAAGGAGGTAGGCCCAGTGGGATGAGTAAGTGAAAACATTAAGTTCTGGCTGCACTACATATTTTAACTGCATTTAACCAGTTAATTACATGGTTAATCCCAGTTATAGCACTAAAGTCTTAAACTGGCAAATATGTCTTCCTGAAACAAATTTTGTAAACTGTTTTTGTGGTGTAGATAGGACTTCCTCTAACTGAATCTTTTATCTCAGTTGGCTCTCCTTTCCAGCTTTCCACTGCTCTGGGGGGGGATATCCCAGAATGCATTGCTCTGTGTCTGTGCCCTCTGGGAATTCTTTCATCTTCTGAGTCACTGAGATAGCTGCCCAAATTTTCTAAGAAAGCACTGATCCAAAGAACTCTTGGCACTGTTATAAATGTGGATGAACAAACCTGGTTGTCATGTGGTTTTGAGGTGGAAAACACTGCTGTGCAGAAACTGTCACGTTTGTTGTAACTGGGTTGGATGAGTGTCAGACTGATTACAAAAACAGTTTGCTGTGTAGACAGGGCTGGAATATTAATCTATATAAAAGTTATTAAAATAAAATGTCAACACATTTTATGTAGTACTACATAAAAGTAACATTGCATAATTGTCCATTTAGATCCCACACTTGGTATCCATGCATGCAAAATCAGAATCTTTGAACAGCAATGTCCATTGGAGCTATGCCTGGCACTCATTATGTCCTCGTGCTTTCCCCATCTGAGCGCAGAGCAGTCCCATCCATCCCTCTTACTGCTTGGCAGTTTGCATCACCGCCATTGCTGTCATAGTGGATTCAAAGCCCTCAGGCTTGAACTCCCTGTACATTGTGCAATGGACTCATTCCCTGCAGACACAGACGTATAGCCATTGTTTGTTCAGTTTAAGCAGAAGCCCCTTGTTTGACAGCTGTGCTGTCTGCTGGCTTTTCTTGTCAAGATGGAGAAAATCCAGGGTCAGTTGGCTAAAATTACTACTTCTGGAGCAGTCTGAGGGGCACTTCAGACCCAGAAGAGCAGGTATCAGGCTCCAACATAGGACCTTCCACCTCTGAATCCCAGTCAGTCAGCACTTCTGTGAGCCAGAATGCAACTCTTAAGACCAGTACCAGTAAGAGATCTGACACAGTCCAACAGGCCATCCACAACTGCCAGAAATCAGCTTGGCACCAAAGCTTGGTGCTGCCTGCAAGGTAAAATAGATTGGAACACCGAACCAAACATATTTCCAGGCATCCATCTATCTCTTGGGATCTAAATATCCTCATGAAGTCCCCCTTTAAACGCCTCTGAATGTTCTCTTCACTACCTTAGTCTCAGATTGCTTTTTTGGTGGCCATTACATAAGCCAGGTGGGAGAGTGAATTTCAGTCCCTCATGGTTCATCCCCCTCCCTTATTATACTGTTTCTCATCGAGATGCCAAACACTGTGCCTGGACCTGGCTTTGAGATAAGATGCCAAATTGGGAAAGGCATTGTTTAGTGAGTGAGCTAGGACTACTCATTCCCTCCTTCCACATGAGGTGCTGCTGGCCAGTGACTTAGAATGGGATCCACATGGACAAATAATTGAAGAAAGAACCGTTACTTAGTTGGCAGTAACTGTGGTTCTTATATGTTTTGTCTGAATAGCTCCCACAAACACCCTACGTTCTTGCTCCTTTGGAGTCTCCTCTAGGTGAGATTCTGGATTAGTGAGAAACTGGAGGGAGTGTTGTGGCCGCCCTGCCATTTGTACCCCCATCTGAGGGCATATATGCTGGCTACAGGCATGATCCCAACAGACACTGCTGTTCAAATTAGTCTTGCATGCCTCAGGCATGTGTACTCCTACAGTGGTATGCACCATGGATTAAAATATCTCAAAGTACCACAGTTACTGCAAGGTAAGTAACCATTACATTATTATTGTTTCAGCACCTGCATTGATGTTAGTATGGTGAATACAAGTATTTGAGATGTCTTATAGGTTGCTGCTGCTTCAGTCGGTCTTAATCTCTTTGAAGGGCCTTTATTTTAGGCCCTAAGTATATTACTAGTGAGCTTTACTGCATTAAAAACACAAGCTTACAAAATTAGGTAAACAAAGAAGTGTTAAATTTTCCTATTTTAAGCACGATTCTATTTTCTTTTGGTTAGTGGTGAGAACTTGGGATTGGAGTTGAAGTATTTAAAGAAAAGAGAAGACAGCATTCCTTTACGAGGTCTCAGCCAAAATACATTTAACTCCTCAGGTAGGAATGGCGGTAGTTCCATGAAAGTAAAAAAATCTTATTTCAAAATTCTTTCTGCTTTAAGAAGGTGTTACTTATACCCCCCAGAAGTTAATAGAGTTTTTTCCCCCCCCATTTGCAGAGTATCCGAAATCCTCCACATCAACAAAAACATTAACTTCATCAAAACCCGGAGTACAGTCTGCAGCTTCTGCTTACTTCCCTGGATTGCAAACAACATAATCATTAAATGAAATCTTTTATTTTACCAACTATCGAAGATTTTGGATGGCTTTTAATTAAGATACTAAACACAATTATTACTCCTTAAATTGTCAGTCAAAATGTTACAGTAACGGTGGAAAATGAGTTAACTTTACTATACATTTGTATAATCTTTGGCTTTTGTGGAGAAAGCAAATGGATTTACATAGATTTCAGTATACAGTTCCAGCCAGAAGAGTAAAATAGGGAGGGGAAAAATATTAACTACTTAAGTCACATGGAAATGTTTAGAAATAATTATTCATAAAATGAGACCAAGCCTTTTAAAAGGTTTATAAATGGTTACTGAGCAACAAGACCCACATAGAGGAGTTTGTGTAGTAAACAACCTATTTTAATCTTTTCCCTGCCAAAAATCCACAAACTAATGATATTGCTATTAGTTCTGTCATTATGCTGAAACTCAGTCCTGCTTGGAGTTTCTCCTTGAAAATACCTTGTTACTTTAGGATCTTGCTCCTGGATGGTACATAGCACCCTCAGCAATCTCTAAAGTCAGTGGTAGTTGTGCTGGGCAGTTTCCAGATATAGGAAACTTCTTTTCCCAAGTTATTCCTACATCTGTTTAGAGTTTGAATCTAATTTTTGGTTTTTATACTGAAAGACATGTTTGCATAGCATTTTGAACTTACTACTCTGGGCTCCTTAGCCCCTAAATCAACACTTGTGTCAGGATACCAGTGTAATGACCCAGGTCAGCTAGGACCAGGCGGTGTATTATATTCTCCTTATACAGGATTTTGGCAGTGTGGATCTGCATTATTTGCATATTATCTCCACGTGTGGATGAAATATACACTCTGGCATTCATCTCTGTAACATGCAGCAGGATGTGGAGTATCCTTTTATTGGCCTGCCACCTATGAAACACTGTTTCCTGTCGGGTACATCTATACTGCGATCACAGGATGTGGTTGCAGTCTTAAGTCGACATACCTGAACTAGCTTTAATGTAGCTAGCTCAAATACGACAGCAGTGAAACTGCTTCACTCTGGACTAGCTCCACAAGTAATTACTCAGGGTTCTGGGCAGGCTTGTACAGCCCACACTGAAGCACCTGCTGCAGCTTCACTGCTCCAGTACCCAAACTGGCTGGACTGGGGATGTCTACTTGAGCTATAATCACAACCTGTAACTGCAAGTATAGACACATCTTCAGAAGCTCAGTTACAAGAACGTAAGGGGCGAAAGAGTGAGCACTTTGCTTCTGGCCTAGGACTCATGCTAATTTCTTAAACTTGAAGCATATTAAATTCTGTAAATGTAAGAGTTGAAGCATTATGGGATCACTCATGTTCTTACAGAGACACATCCTAGCATTAAAAGTTTGCAGGACATTTATTTAATGTAGGTTTCATGTGGTTTCTTTCTCTTTGGCTTGGAAATTGCTTTCTTAAACCAACTACTTTTTTACATATGTGAACATATTTGTGTGCAGATTTGTATCTTGTGGATCACTAGTCAGATATTTAAATTAGCTGCTTTAAAATGAGATCCTAAATATTTACCTCAGTGAAAGCACAAACGTGAGTTATGGCTACAAATTTCACATCTTGTCACAGCCCCTAATTATTTTTGTGTGTGTGTGTGTCTCTCTCTCTCTCTCTCACTCACCATGACAGATGATTCCACATACAATGGGCTAGTTTGTAATACACTGGAAGTTACAACCAGGTATCTGAACTGTCTTGTTCCAGTAATTTTATGAATCCATTTCATATTCTACTGCTGTAATCAAAGATGCCTTCAAGGGTGACTACAGTGGTGTACAGAACATATCAAGTCAATTTAACTGTACTTACCACTTAGGTTTGGATACATTTTAATACTTGGGTTCGTTGGTGAAATTATGCTACAACCTGAGTCTGTGTTCTTCCCCTGAGTGTCCCAGTGAAGACTGAGGAAGCCAGTTACATGGAATTGAGTAGTAAATTTTTCCCTGCAATTTATATGAACCATATTCTAATCTCAAACTAGATAACTTAAAATGACAGTTGTTGGGCATTTTCCAGTATCTTGGACTCAATTTATGTCCCTAGCTCCTACACTTGAATTGTATCAGAATCTACTCCTTCTCTTTCCCTTAATTATATGGGCATGTTTGAGTGGCTAATCACCCTAATTTTGCACATTACTGTCTGTGTAAACAAACATTTTGGAGTGTAAAATTTGTATATTTGTTTATAATCAATTTGTATTTTGTGTGTATAGTTGCTTTTGGAAGTGTACATGTTAATGGAAATATTAAAATGGTTTCAGTAAAAATGTTTCTGCTCAGCTACAGTGGACTTACAGTTAAATGGAAACATATTAGAGAGAGTGGTTTCACACACTCAAATATTCAAAATGAGAATTAGAGCAAAGTTATGATTTCACTATAGTCCAGACCAGGAAATGGTACCATTTTGCCAGACAGAGCTTGATGGCCCACTTATCAAGCTGCTTAGTCCAAAAATTTAGGATTTACAAAAGCTGCTCAGAACAGCTAACTGAAAATTTTTATAAAATGACTAAATATACTTTCACATAATGCAGTAGTATTGGAAATCAGTATGAAACTTGAAGAATGGGGCCTAGATCCTACAAAAGAACTCAGATGGTATGACACCTTGCTGCCCAGTGGCATTCCCAGCCCAGCATCCAGGTACCCTACACAATGCATGGGGAAAGTTTGAGAATCCATATCTTAAGCACTCATCAGCTAAGCAAGATTAATTTACTGTCAGTTTGTTGGTGGTATTTACTTGAAAGGGGGTGGTAATGACAGAAATTCTTACATTATCTTGCTCCAGTTGTTAAGACTTTAAAATATCCAAAACACTTACCTCAGACAGTTAGACCCACAAGCAAGATGCCTGCATAGTTGCTACTTGTACAAAATAAATGCTCAAAGCAGCTTAGTAGCAATTTAAGTGAGAAAATGGTACATTAGTAAAGTATTACACTGGTGGCTTTTTCTTTTAAAAAAAGGTAGAAGGAACTTCTATGGCTAAAAAACTACATGCATAAAACCTGGAGGGCAGGGGGTTTGGCAATCATGCAGCTGACAAGTTACCCAAAGAGGCCAAACTTGGATGGTGTGCTACAGCCTGAGTCCATGTATTTGCATTTGGCCAGAGCTACTCTCATCATTTATGTGTAAGACTGTACTATCACTTGTACACAGATGGAATGTAATCACTGAAATTGATTCCTCCATGTTAAAAAGAGGCAGGCATTTTAACAGGGTGACAAAGTAATAACATGCCTGGCTGTTTTGTCAGTGTCCTTCCTTTCCTGCAGGTGGCTCTGATTCTACTGCTAGCTAAAGGTGATACTAGCTCAGGCCCTATGTGTAATTCATTTAGTAAGGGGAAGAAGAGCTGGTTTAAGCAGACTCGGATACTGAATACAGGCAACAGCAGAGAGAGAATTTTATTCACACAGTAGTCATCTGTGTGCTAGATAACAGATTGTAATTACTAGAATCAGACAGCAATTTCTTTTCATCTGACTGGACTCTGCTTTATGCTAACATTAAAATGCAGTTCTATTTTTCAAGTGTTGTAAGATGATTGTTGTACTTTGCCTTCCCCATTCTTTTGTATCACATTTAATGGTTTATAATGAAGTTAACGTCACATCATCTGCTAGCATGGCAAGGACATCAACAATTTTTAGCTAAGTTTAACCTAACCTAATTGTTAGAGGCTGCTGCTTGACAATACTTTCTACCTTTTTTCTTATATCAAAAATTACTGGTAACTCCTTTTGCAGTGCTGTAGTCCAAGAAAAAAAATACTGAGTATAAGTCCATCTTTTAATTAGAAGTGGCCTGCTTCAGGTATGTGGCCCATTAATTCAATGGTAAATGAGTTAATACCAAGTTAGTTTAAGATTAGGGTTTTTACTTAGTTTTATTCAGTAACATTCTTTTACTACATGTTACATGGCAAGGTGGGTGCAAAAATGAGAAAATTAAACATTAAGAAAAGAGTGGTGTGCCAGTAACATTCACTGAACATACTTTAAGTCACTCCAAAGTTAGTTGGTGAGTAAGTTTCGATAATATTGATACTAACATTTGAGGTTAGCATTGTGTATTAGTTTGCCCTTTTTTGCAGGGGTAAGATACTGATTATCTTGTTTTTATTCAAAATGTAACTGACAGGATCTTTTACTACATCCTGATTTGATGCTTCACTTATAAAAGTAGGTAGGCCCAGTCATTCCCCTCAAATATCCATATACAAGTTTCCTATGGCAAGTGATGTGAGTTACAGCCTACCCACCCCCACTTCCCTGATGGAAAAATTAGGAACTTGTATCCAAATGAATGAATACCTTCTATCAGAAGAAAGTTTATTACTACAGTATCTGCCATACTCCTTTTTCCAAAACACAGGGAGGGCCAGCTGTACATTTATCAGAGTAAGTATCATTCACAGGCTAGGTGCATCACGCTTAGGTTTAGAGCAAACCTGATGTAAGGTATAAACAGCTTGCTCATGTCAATATGGCAAGTTCAAGTTTAAATTAAATAAGGTAGAGCCCTGCAGTAGGAAAAATTGTTTTGAATGCTTTTTATATATATATATAAATATAGACTTTTTTTTAGTAACAGTGGGGAATCTCCCTTGCAGGATTTAAGGTTTTTGTGGATGGGAGTGGGTATTGCAGGACAGGACAGGAATAGGATTAAAAATGTTGTCCCAGGCAGCGCTCTACTTGGCAACGGATTGCCCGTTATTTTAGTTTCTTCTGGATTTAATACAATACCACTATTAAGAAAGCTTTTCATGAAAATTTTGCAGTACAAGGACAAATAAGCTGTTACAGGTATGCAGGAATGAAAAGGGTAAAATATTCACACAATTTACCTACGATTGGTATTTGTCTGTTGAATCAAATTACTTTCAAAGCACTAAGGAACCCAAAAACTTGACAGGAAGTAAGAAAGCAATATTAAGACTACAATATGTTCAGCAGGCTACAAGACACATTACAGAATTCATATAGATTGTATATGGTTTAAATTGATGTCAAAGACCATCTTAAAAAATTCATTAAAATATTGATTTATTAACAATATATTTACACATTTTCCAGCGCTCCATCAACCACGGTGCATGTTCAAAGTTAAAAAACCAGTAAGCAGTAACCACACAATGAAAACATTTTAAACTATATTTTATACACAATTTATACAAAGGAATACTTGTTTAAATAATACAACTGGACACAAAAATATACATTTTTAGAGAAATTCACATCAGTAACTGTATAAAGCTCTCTCCTGAACTAGGGCCCTGAAAATTTAGGACTAAAACATTAGCTCTGTAAAAGTAAAAAGTTACTAGCCAGTCCTGAAAGGCCACTATATAGCACACGGACATTCTCAAGGCTATCAGCTTATATTTCAGTTTGTGTATTCAAGTTTTGAGGTCCTTATGATTACGCAAACATCAGAAATATAGTGGTATAAACAAACTGTATTTGAGAAAACAGTTTTAGAGCCAATATTAAAATCTTTAGGCTCAAAAGACCCCCTAATTTAAATACTGTTTGATACTATCTTGTACTCCAAAAATTAGGAAGAATTAGACTAATGCACTTAAACAAAGAACTTTTATTGTTCAGCAAGCGTGCTCACCACATGATTTTGTATTAGTAGAAACTTAATAAAACCTCCCATACAGTGTTTTTAAAATGAAACCAATTCACCTTTTCCTTACTTGAGTGCATTTACGTTAAGGCTTTGTACCATCTGACCCAAAATTTTACAACATAAAATGAATGGGTCCACAAATATGCTAGTATGTCTCATTGAGACTTAGCATGAAGAGAATTAAAGCTTTACACCTTAAGGAAATGGACACAGGGACACATGCTGATACCTTGAATACGTTTTCCTTTTTGTCTCAGAACCAGGATGAAAAGGTTAATTATATTAATAGTATGAGACCAGTGTTTAGTCTGTTCTTTTTAAAAGCAAGTTAATTTAATTGTAACATCTTTGGAGAAATTTCCAGTTCTGTGTCTGTAGTTCCTACAAATTTCATGCAGAAAGATACGTTTCTGAAGAGAATGTTAAGAAATTACATTTTTTATGTAAATGGAATGTATCCAGAACTGGAAACAAGACCTATGAAATATAAAAACGTTTTTCTGGATTTTGTCGTCATCATACATTTGTGTCTTGCAGTAAAGGTTCTTTGGCCTCACCAGGGGCCTGTGGACTGTGTGGATGACCATGACTGCCACTGTGTTTTTTCCAATTGCTGGACCGTACATTTAGATTGGTGTGTTCAGGAATAAACAAGGCAACAAGCAAAGCCAGCAGCACAGAGCATGCTCCAAACAAGAATGGGGGTCCAGGAATTATGGAGTTCTGAAAATAACAAGAACATTTATTTTCTAGAGGAACAGTTAAGTAGATCCATAGTTCACAGACACTGGTTGTTTCACATCAGGCTCTGTACTTAAAAATATTTTACAATTTAATTAGTTTAGGGCAGAACACTCTTAATGAGTGGGCTATTTCAATACCCAGCCCTAGTAAACCTTATTCATAGATGAACAATAGTTATTTTCAAAGGTTGAGGGAGGAAATCCAGAAGAGGAGAAACTTGTTAGATGAGTTTCTCTTTGGGTGTTTTTTAAACTGCAGAATTCTCTTCTAACTTCACAGGAAACATGCTACTGCCTAATGTCTTACCTGCCAGAAATACAAACTTAGAGAATCATACAGCTGAACTGCTATTTCCAGCCAAGTAGTTAAAAACTCACTGTAGCTACCAGATGAAGTATAGGGTTGGTCTTCACCGCCCTGTTAACCTGAGGTATAACTCGCTTTGTCCCTAACCCAGCTCCTTTCAAACACACAAATCTCTAGCTTGCTGGCCCATCTGGGACTGGGAGTAGGTTGAAACACGAATGCTGCTGACACTGGAGATAGTAATCCAACATCAACTGCTAATCCATTCGCTCTGTGTAGCTCAAATATTGCATCAACAATGTGGTCACTCTCACTGGAACTAGGCTAGAGTGGAGAAACTTGAACTCACTGTTGCGGTGGAGACAAGCCCGAAGACAGAAAGTAATGTGCATAAGGTACTGAAATAAAAAGTTAACAGACTGCTCTTTCACCATGCAATTCTCAGATATGCGCAGCATTACAGCAAGTTATGAAGAGAATGAACTGTTAGCGACACTTGCTTCCCCACTCCTCTTTCACCTTTCCTGAGAGCGGGGTGTGTGAGTGTGAGTGAGAGAGAGAGAGACAAAACAGGATTATCGAGATCTTAAATCAGTCCCCCCACAATTCAAATGTAGCTAACAGCTACATTTAAACAAGCAAAGCCAAGGTATTTACTACTATTTAAAAAAAATAAAAACAGGACTGTGAATGAAACAGAAAATACAAAAGCAGAAGACACTCTCCTTCACCCTTAAATATATCCTGTTGTAGACATTACAATGGTACAGTGTTCACAGACCTAGACACCATAAGAAGTCATTTAACTATACAAAAGGGACTATGATCTAATTTGTGGTCCTTATTTTTCATCTCAGCCAGAAAGTTACTTTATGTCTGAATTTCATTCTATGGTCCTACTCTTTTCATTCATGCAATATGAGCATTAATACTTAAGTAAATTGAGTAAACCAATCCCCCTCTCCAGTCAAGTGTAAATAAAGGACAACAAGATCTTGAATCTTTGTCTTTCACCACACCATCAAAAAGACTGACTCGTAGGCTTATTTTGCAGCAGTAAGTTTTAGATATTTATTTTTAAAAATAATATGCTATAGCTCGAAGGACCAGACCTGGCACTCGCTTTCAAGGAATGAGGAAGTAGTGCATAGGCTGGTATCTATGACCATAATGGCAATTTCTGCCTCCTTGTAGGCAGAGGGCATATTGACAGGCCAGAATGTTTTGCAATATCAAATAAAGAGGAGAATGTGCTACAAGGAAGTGGTAAGGCCCTGACAAGAAGCACGCCACAAGGAAGTATGAAAACAGCAAAGCATATTCAGCTTTTTAGTGTCCAGTCTAAATCACGTGTTTTAAAAATATTCACTAGACATAAGATACAATTCTGGGCACATTAATACCAGAAATAAATATTTACAAGTTAAAGAAAATTTAGAGAAAAGCAGAAGTTAACAGGCAAAAAAGAGACCAACATACAAGGAAAGAATCAAGAGATGTGTAACTTGGTCAGAAGACTGAGAATAGAAAGTGTTTAAAAACGTGAACCAATGGGGTTCTTTTTAGGGCAATCCAAAGGAGCAACGGGATTAATCAATCACTGGAAAATTTAGGCTCAATATCAAGAGGATTGTCTTAATTGCAAGAGTTATTAGACAGGTCAAGAGTCTCACAATAGAAGTGGTTTGAGAAGTCCCTTTGCTTGATTCATTTAAAGCTGGACTGACTAAAGCACTGTAGAATGTGCCACAGGGTACAGTCCTGAATTGGCAGCGAGATGAACTAGAGTATCCAATTTACTTCCCCCCCGCCCACCTTTCCAAGGTCCAGGACAGAGGTTCTCAAACTGTGGTCCACAGATCACCAGTGGTCCGCAAGCTCTATTCATGTGGTGTGCATAGTTCCCTCTAAGATGGGTGCCTGGGCTGCTCCACACGAGAGAATGAAGGGCCACCCACCTAATTAGTGGAGCTGCGAAGGCATGGCTCCCTAATTAGGTGCCTGGAGAAGACGCACATGTAAGGCGAGGTGGTGGCCTTGGGGAGGAATAGGGGGTATGTGGGAGGGGGCAGTGGGTGAGAAGTGGGGGAGAATTTGGGACATGTAGGGCTGCGATGGCCAGAAAAAAAAAAAAAAAGAGGAGGTGACTTCCCCCAATTCCAGGGCTGCCATGGCAGGAAGAGACCCTCCCCCACCCCTCCTTCCGAGCCCCAGCTTGGGGTCTGCTGCGACAGGAGAGAGAGGGCATATTCATCACATTAGAAAGGTAAGACTACGGATATTAAAATACGAGTGGTGTGCTTTTATTTGTAGAACAAAAAAACCCTTAAAACTATAAAGTTTTTTATACAGCACTTTTATCCAAAGTGCTTTACAACAGTTAGCTAATGGTACAAACATTTGGAAACATCACTAAGTGGTCCGCTGAGACCCTCAGCAATTTGCAAGTGGTCTGTGGAAAAAAAAAGAGTTTGAGAACCACTGGTCTAGGATTGATCTTTGCTGCATTTCTTGTAATTTATAAATAAATAGGAATAATACCTGTTGTGAATGGTGTTGTGTGGCCACGTTACCTCCCAACTCAGTTTCAGTCATTGGGAGTTCATTCAATTCTACATGGAATATGTAGAATATAAAACCATAAAGTGCTGGTCCCAAACCATTACACAATCCTCGAATTCCTGTTATCATCCCTTGAACAACACCTAAAGAAAAAGGCATTCCATGAAATTAAATGTGTATACAATGAAGACTGTTTAAAATGCTTTTTGGCAATTGTCTAACATGCAATGGAGCCTGATTCACTTTTTCCCTACACTGGTGTAAACTAGGAGTAACTTCACTAAAATCAATTGGGATACACCACTTTAAGGCTGATGTGAGGAGAATCATGCCTACACGAGAACCAAAAAAAAATGAGGAACATTGGGCAAGACAAACTTTGTTTTAGACAGAACACAGCATTTCCTATGCCATACTGACCAAAAGGCTGTCAAATCTGGTATGCTGTCTCTGACAGCTATCTATGCCTCATGGTTCAGAGAAAAGCAAAAATATATTACTGGGGCTCCTAAACACTACAGTAATAATAAATAAATGCACCTGAAGAATTGAGTAAATCCATGCACAGTGGGAAAGAACTGAAACATGATCAGCTGACGTACTGAATCAAGAGAAGTAGTGATGTAGTATTATGCTACCTTCAATGAATGGGTTTTCCCTATGCTAGAGACTCTCACTATTCTCATCTGTCTTGTTTGAGCAGTATAACCCAACCACCTCCAAACAGTCCACAGGCCTTTGACAACTGCGTATCACTTTTGAGAACTACCACTCTTCTACAGTGAAGTTAAAACTAGACTAATGTTTCTCATTTACATTAACATACTACTATGCTGGCTAATTTGTCCTGCAAAACTAGCATGGAGGTTGAGGATAACCCTTGAGTACCAGTAAGACAGCATTGATCCATCTGGTGGTAAGGAGATCAGAATATCCCTAGTTTGAATATTCCTTATAATTATCAACACCACCACCACTTATAAAACATACCCTGTTGATCAGCATCAGCAGTTCGTGAAACTAGTGCACTTACTGCTGGGAACGTAATACTAGACATTGCTGCAACAGCCCCTGCTGCCCACATCATCCTGAAAAACATAGAAGTGTTAAAAGAAAGAATCAAGATAAGAATTCTGAATTTCTACCTTCCATATACCTCATTACAAAGTTTAGAATGAACTGCACACACTACCCCATGCAATAGTGAAGTCACAAGTTAATCATCATTGCTGGATTTCATACCTATCAATTATTCTGAGTTTAACAAATGGTGTAAAATCATTTAAGAGATGATCAGAAAAATCCCTAATCCTTGCAAAATCCTGACACTTGCTGGGAAGCACTGATCATGTATTTTGATCACCTCTTCTTAATTTGGGAGGAGAGTTAACATCCAAACAGCTATCTTAACTTAGTTTTCCCCATTAGGTCATTGGTACATTAGCACATGTAAAGGGTGCAATGGGGGGGGGGGGGGGGGGGGGGGGGAAGAAGTGCTCTGATGTAAGCTGACATCTTGACAAGTCAATGCACTCTACTACAAGCAACACGACCAAAAATAAATAATCAAGAAAATCTGACTGTTAGAGAAAAGAGGACAAAGCATTTTTCAATGTTGTTTAGTGTCCATTTCCTTTTAGATGAAAAATATCCATGAACAATTTTTGGTTTTAAGAATATTGGTACGAGAGATTGACATTGTTTAGGTCAATCATACAGTACAATACCAAATTCTTGGTTTGGGATGGTTCACCAGACAGTAGTGATTTCTTTGACTTCACCAAGTACAAACCAATTACATCTTTAAAAAGAAGAAAAAAAAAAGGTTCCAGCTTAAGAGGAGACAAAGGACGTGTTGCCTGTAACCTCTCATGTAAATCTGATGCATGTAAAAAAAAACACAATGTTGTGAATGTTTCTTTATTAAGTAGTAAATAACAATTTAAAATCTTAATATGTCAGTTCATTAATTCAACTAAAACAAAACGTACGTACCAAGGCTCCGAGCCAAAACCATACCATGCAAGCTGTAATATTTGAAATCCCAGACCCAGTAAGATGGTGTTTTTATTTCCAATGGACCGCATAAGTAAACTCAAAACTACTGTCTGATGGGAAAAAGAATGTAATTTTAATTGTGAATAATCGGGCTATACAGCAATACATATAAACAGTTCACTAGTTTTGACAGAAGCAAAGTAAAGTTATGTGATGTAGTATTTTCTAGACAGAGATTGAAACACGTAATAATGGAGAGAGAGATGTGAAGAGATTGTTACCTCACTCTTGACATGCAACAATTTAGATTTCCCTTTAGAAATCCATACACTGGGGATATATTATTTAACCTGCCCTGATGGCTTAAACAAGCTATTTTTCAACCCAAACTAAGCTTAAGGAGAAGACTGAATCAACTTCTAAGAGGTTTGGGAGTGTGACTATGGAAGAAATAAATTAAGGTTAAGGCACTAGACTAGAATTCATGATGTGGATTATATTCCCAGCTCTGACAGATTTAAGGTAGTCTCAATGTCTGCATCACAGTTCATCCACAAAATGGTGATATTTTTCTACTTCCCAGGATTTGAGAATGAATTGTTTATGAAATGGTCAGATAATAGGTGATGGAAAAAAAGGAAGCCATATAAAATCGGATCGGAATTCAAAGCATCTTTCCTTTTCTATTCTAACCTCCTGAAATCAGATAGACTGGGTCCTGGAATTACAGTTACAGGGATTGTCATAATACTTCGCTCTCACTTGAACCCATTACATTAGTGAAATTTATAGATTAATATTCACCTGTGCAATAATGGACAGAATCCCAAGAACTGCTATAAATGCTGCAACGCTTTCAGGTGAAAATCCCATTATCTACATTAGAGAAGAAGTAATTTGATCATTAAACTTCAAATGTACATTGACATGTCTTTCATGTTTTGTGACATCAGTGGAAAGAATAAATGGAGTAGCCAGAAAAACGCTTAATCTGAAATAGACGATGACATCCCCGATTTTATTCGATCCCATAATCATTCAAACCAACATTTTACTCTTGCATAAAATAAAGAGAAAGATCTAGTGCGGGACAGAAAATAACTTCTATCATTGAGTATGGAACTTGAAAGAAAATCGACCCCATACTGTAAACTATTTTTAGTCTTTATCAGCTAATGAAAGCTAATTTTAACCACTGCAATGTACTGGAACTTGTACTTCAAGGAATAATGCAAATTATTAAGAAACATGAGAAATATTTTGAAAACAGATTCGTCTCTTTATTAATTATCACAGTAACTAAAAGCCACTATCAGCCATCAATCATATTGACTACTCATATATTGCTAAAGTAATGTAACAAGTGCAAAGAAAACGCCCTTCTATAAATTTAATTTCTTCATATGCAAATTCTTACCTGTCTGAGGTATAGGAAGAAGCTGGAATATTGACCTGCCTCCGGGAGGTAGGAAAGAAAGACTGTTATGCAGATTAGAAGCACTATGGAATCTTGACCCACTTTCTTTAGTGACTAGGACAAAAAAGACACAGCTGTAAAGTCAACAACAGAAAACATCTACTCTTCATCATTCATAACCAACGACTCACAAAATTTACACTGAAAGAGGCAGATACCTTTAATGCATACAGCACTGTTAAAACGTGTCTTTCAGCACTTACTAATCAGCATTTGCTAATCAGCAATTTGAAGTTACTCACACCCTTCCCCAATAAACCTAGGAACTCCTCAAACAATTTTTTAAAAACCCAAATCGAGATAAATTACTATCAGTCCCATTCCTGACTCAAAAGCAGTACAAATCCAAATCTGCATATATCAAGCTACCACTCCATACTTAAACATTTAAATAGCTTACTGCAAAGGGGTCAGCCTGTTCCCAAGAAATGGGTGCTCCCCATGATGCTGGCCTCATCTTCTCGGGCAGTGATTCCGGTACAGCAACAAGAATAAAACAAATGTCCAACAAAGCTATAGCTGTAGCTAGGACCACTACCAAGCTATTTCCATAGACTCGACCAAGGTAGGCACCAATAGCTGGGCTGGTAACTAAACTTGCTGCAAAAGTTGCTGAAACCTGTAACAGACAAAAGTCAGTATGAGAACGTTTTCCAGGAAGGAAGATCAAACGTATCCACTCTTTCTCTAACTTCACTTTCAGCACCTTGAATACTTCCAGAAACTCAGCTGCAAATCACCCTAATCAGGTGGACAAGTTCTGAACTAATGCAGTTATTTTCTCTGGCATTGCAGCAGCAACCACAGATTTCAGACATCTGAAGTTTTTAATGAAAAAATTTTGGTTAAGCAGGGCAGCACTGTATAGCTTTATGACTGTGTCAAATTTGTGAAGTTTAATTGGACATATCGAGGTCTGATAAAGGGGGAGACTCAGTATAACATTTTCTTTTGGGGGTGGTAGAAGAAACTATGCTTATTTGCACAACATCCGCAGCTCTTAATAAAATCAAAGAATTTACATTGTATAATAAAAGCTGCATATGCAAACAAAATGGAAAATAGCACCATCCTGCCAACATCTCACACTGACCCAAGAAAGGGGGAAATAGAAAAGAATGGAGAGAAAAGATTATACAATGGCCATTTTAAATTTAAGCTGACAACAAGACATTCAACAGGAGATGCAGAATTGGATGGTAGGACCAAGTTTCCATTTGGAACAGTGTTTTTAAAAAACTGAGTGGCCAAAATAAGAGTTTATAATGGCAAAGATATCAACTTTGAAAAGCTTGTGTCTCCTGCAGCAATATGACAAAGCTTTATTAAGAGAACTCTAGTTGTTGAGCCTCACAAGGCTTAAAGGTATAGAGAAATTAAGTACATACCAGCCCATAGGCCATGCTTCTTTCATGTTCTTGGGTTATATCTGCTACATAAGCAAACACCACTGAGAAAGTCACTGCAAAAACCCCAGAAACAGAGATAACAGCAAAGTACCACCTGGGGACAAAAAGGAATCAGAAAAAAGAACAGCTCAGTGGAGCTAAAATGTAACTAGTAGTGATTCACAAACTTCTGAAACACATCCAGACAGATTAAGGTATCTATGATTGTCCAACGTATTCCTGACAAGTAATTTAAATATTTATAAAGTCAGTATGAATGTGTCTTTATATGGTTATGTAATCTCTCCAGTGTGCACTGAGGGTACAACATAATTACTTGCCATTCTACAAAAAAAGGCTTTGTAGGTTAAATTAGGATAGTTCATTACAGATCGTTCAACATTAGCCTTAGCCCTGAGTCCACAGACTGGCAATTATTTCACTCAAAATGCATGTTGCAACATATAAACTGTTAAACAAATAGCCTATCACCCAGGCATAGGGATCAAAATGGGGAGACCACAAAAGACTAGATAGCAAACTGAATTAGCCTGATACAATATGAACAGTTGACTCTCAGACCTCTATTAGTTCTAAGACCTTGTCCTATCTTATTTCAGATTTATCTGCAGGAGCAGTACAAAATTTGAGACAATTGTGAACTAGCCATTGTCCTAAGGACATTAGACTCATGAATGGAGGTGTACTAACAGAACACTAAAATTCCAGCTACTCAAAATTTGCTAGATTCAAGTATTTGATAAGCACAACTATAATAAAGCTGCAGCTACTTTTTCAGTAGCAGTTTTAATATTACACACTAGTGCTTAAGGTATATGCTAGTTCTGAAGAATATTTTCAATTCTTAGTGACTATTTACTTAGTACTGAAATGATTTTGCTGAAAATTTCAGCCAAATAAAGATATGCAAGGATTAGAGAGACATTTAAGGTACTGGGAAATATACTGTATAAAATTATTCTCAACTATTAAGTTATTTACCCCCAAAAGGCTTAAAAGTACAATGCAGCCACTCAAAGGCCATATATCTTTCAAGTTCTTGGGCTCTCTCCGCTACATAAGCAAACACCACTAAAAAGTCACAAGTCACTCCAGTACTAATGTACTAGGCTTAGAAGGAAGCATGGGGCTAACAGACTTAATTCTAAGCCTGGCTTTGAGGCGTTCAGCAAGTCACTTTACCCTGTCTCAGTTTCCCCAACTCTGCAATGGACTGGTACTTCCACACCTACCTCACAGACGTGTGCTAAGAAGTAAACAACTTCTGGTACATTAACTGGAACACAAGTGCTATTATAAATGCTACATGTTCTTGCTGTATGTAATTAATAACACACTAAAGACAAAGCCATAAATAACTATGCTTGCTACTAACCATGGGCTGATCTTCATCAATGGAATTGGTGCACAAGTGAAAAATACTGTTAACAGTAAGAAGGACTTTCGTCCCCAAACATCAGATAGAGCACCTATGAGAGGGGCACTGAGAAACGATAACAAGCCCTGAAAAGTAAAAACAAATTTTAAATAAAAATCAAGAAATGAAAGAAAATACAATAGTTGAAAGATTGTTAGAAACTGACTGATTTTGTTTTGCAGATTAATGATAAATGTTGGCTATATGGAACAATGTGTCAAGCAATATCTTCTATGAGTATCCTTCATTCCCCTTTTCCACTCAGCAGCAGTTACCTACAATTTGAATTTTACTAACCCACAGAAACCCAAAATGTGAATCCAAATGCAGTCAACACACAGCTTAATAAAATGCATTTTACATTTTTATATGCTGTATTTAGGAGAGAGAACATTTTTCAACACACTGAGGACATGTGGTCTAACAATCAGAGCAAAGGACTGGGTGTCAGATATCTCAGATTCTTACGTGCTGTGACACCAACTGATTGTGTGATCTTGGGCTACTCAACTGGCCTATTTATTCCTCAGTCAAACCAAGTACAAATTTTAGCAAAAGCAAGACCTTATTCAAATAAAGTGCTGCATTTGAGCTCTCCTTGGTAAATTTACCCTCACATTTTATTCACAGCTTGAAAGCTATATTGGAAGGCTCTCCTTATTCCACTTAATAAAGCACCAGCACTTATGTATGTACCCTTTATTCATTTTAAATTGTACTCTCACTTATTGATTTAGACTGAATTTTCATTCTACCTACCTTTACTCCTTGGATTAGGCCATTCATTAGAAATGTATGCTTTGGGAAGGTTTCATGTAACACCTATAGAAGAATTATGTACATTACATACTGCATTATCCATATTTCACAACACTAAATATGAATACAGACTCAAGGATTAATATGAGGCATATTATGCCAACAATTTTAATATAAATTACAGTAAAATTCACAATGAAATTAATAAATTCAACATCAATAATCTCATTGTTAAATAGTGCACTACAGACATTTATATAGTAGACTACACAATTTCTAATAGTAAATTATGCTATGCTTCTTACTTTCCAGAAATAAAGGCACCAGTGGATAAGCTACAATGTTAGCACTACAGCTCAGGTTAGTAAAATAAGGAAAGAACGTTCTTCAAAATCACAGTGTATTTTCTTCATTTTACCACACAAGACTGACCAAAATTTCATTAAGTTTGATAAAAGTATCATTCCTACTTCAATGAAGACAGAATACTATTGTAGGATTTCCTTATTTAAGGAAAAATACACATTAATTAGGACACGCCTTACTTATGTGACGGACTGGTTCAGACACCAAATACACACTACTTTTCACAAAGGTCATTTTGCTTAAAAGGATTTCAATATCATGGAACACAAAACCAGTACCACAACACCACAGATAGATACTGAATGGTGAACATATGTACTGCTCAGATGGTTTGAATACACTGTTTTTTGCATACTAAAGCCTCATCTACACCTACAAATTATATCAATCTAGGTACAGCACTCAGAGCTGTGCAAATTTTGTGCCCTGTGTAACATAATTAGGTCAGCCTGCCTACATGTACAATGGGCATTAGGTCAACTGATGTGTTTACAAGATAAAAACATTAGATTATGAGTGCTTGACTCTTAAACCTTGTCTACAAGGCAAAGAAGTTTTTGCCTATAGATTTCAACACCATAGCCATATAACAAAAACACCCCAAACCATCACTTCCTAAACCAGAGCTATGCTGGCAAAACTTTTAAGTTTAACCTTAATCTCTGTAAACCACTGTGCACAATTATGGCATATAAACAAGAACAAAAGTTAAAAATCTCCTTTCCTTATATTGCAGATTATCAGGATACAATATCTGTCCATAGACTTCAGTCGTGGTATCACACTTTATTTCAGAGAAGTTAAATCATATCACTGACTGCAGAATAAATGAATTACTTAGACAGGAGTGAAAACATGTTTACAAAAGAGAAAGTTTCTGCTTGCCATCACCTTGTTAATTACCAAAGGTTAAAAAGACAGTACAGAAAAATACATAATATTTAATGAGTTATATTTAAAGAATGGCCAGGTGCGGTAATGATCCTTTAAGATCAAAGTCACAAAGTTCTTAAAATTGGGACTGGAATCCCATGCATTCCTAGATCCTACTCCTGTGCTCAAGACAGACCTCTGTCTGTGGGGGTAACAGGAAAGGAAGGTTTGAGGGTTTTTTAAAGTATTTCTTCTCAAAAGTGTGTGCAATTAGCACAGATTACATATGTTGATATGTGACTAATATCAACAAGCCCAACTCTGATCTACATGGATTGTTTAATCTTGACCACATTTGGTAACATAACACACAAGATGCTCTTCCAAGTGTGAAGTTCAGGCCAGCTCAATTCCACCCAAACTTTATTTTCAAGTTTAATGCTCTGATAATACCGCAATGAACTGAATATTTTAGCTTTTTTTTTTTCTTTTTTTTTTTTTAACTTTTCAAGCAATACAGAAGAAGTTCATTAACCATATCACTTACCACCAAAGTAGGTGCTGTCAAAAGTCCCCAAGCAAAAAACTCCAAAAAAATCACTATGACAGCATGGTAGACACTAGGCGAACCTATTCCTTGAGGCTAAAACACAAAAACAAAAAAGTTGTTACTACAGAATATTTAAAAAGTTGCTTTATTAATAAGAAAGTTGTTTGAATGTTGGTTTATAAGCAAGAAATTGTAAGATGAAGTATGGCTCAAAACAAGCTGTTTCAGGAATCTGAATAATTGTCTTGTGTAAGCTCTGATACAGTGAAACTCCACTGAGGGGTAAAGCATAATGAATGACTGGAAGTGTCTTAAAACACAGCACTGTATGATCCCTCACTCTCTCAGATTTTGGGAGACAGACCAGTCCTCACTTACAGACAGCCCCCCAACCTGAAGCAAATACTCTCCAGCAACCACACAACAAAAAACACTAACCCAGGAACCTATCCTTGCAACAAAAGGCCAATGCCAACTCTGTCCACATATTTATTCAAGTGACACCATCATAGGACCTAATCACATTAGCCATGCCATCAGGGGCTCATTCACCTGCACATCTACCAATGTGATATATGCCATCATGTGCCAGCAATGCCCCTCTACCATGTACATTGGCCAAACCGGACAGCCTCTACGTAAAAGAATAAATGGGCACAAATCTGACATCAGGAATCCTAACATTCAAAAACCAGTAGGAGAACACTTCAACATCTCTGGCCACTCAGTAAAAGACTTAAGGGTGGCAATTCTGCAACAGAAAAGCTTCAAAAACAGACTCCAACAAGAAACTGCTGAGCTTGAATTAATATGCAAATTAGATACCATTAACTTGGGTTTGAATAGAGACTGGGAGTGGCTGGGTCACTACACATATTGAATCTATTTTCCTAAGTTAAGTATCCTCACACCTTCTTGTGAACTGTCTAAATGGGCCATCTTGATTATCACTACAAAAGCTTTTTTCCTCCTGCTGATAATAGCTCATCTTAATTAATTAGCCTCTTACTCCACCTTTTTGGGTTCTCTGTATGTATCTATCTATATGTTTCATTCTATGCATCTGATGAAGTGGGCTGTAGCCCACAAAAGCTTATGCTCAAATAAATTGGTTAGTCTCTAAGGTGCCACAAGTACTCCTGTTCTTTTTACATAAGCGGCAAAGAGTCCTGTGGCAGCTTACAGACTAACAGATGTACTGAAGCATAAGCTTTCGTGCATGCATCTGACGAAGTGGGTATTCACCCCCGAAAGTTTATGCTCCAATATGTCTGTTAGTCTATAAGGTGCCACAGGACTCTTTACCGCTTTTACAGATCCAGGCTAACACGGCTACCCCCTGATACTTTTTACCCAAATGGACTTCTTTTGACTTTAAAAAAAAAACAAAAAAAAAAACACTCTGCCTCAACACATACTCTTTCAACCCTCAAGGGAGACTGGAGAATGAAGAGGCAATGCTCAGCCCTGAATTAAATTTGGTCTACTATGTTCATATGACTAAATGCAAACAGACAAAGATTTGGATTTAACAGTGCTCAAATCTTCTGAGCTGTTCTTGCAAAATTTCTGCCATCTTGAGATTTCTGCCACTCTAATTCAGCTATTCTTACAAGATTTTGGCTACATCCAAGCCAGAAAAATAAAGTTTCTGGTTCTGCATCAAGTGACTTGTAACCAAAGCTATAGGAGTAGGTCTAAATACAGCTACTGGAATTGGTAAACTGCACCCACCACCCATTGAATTTGAACAGATTTGGAAAAAAGCTTGTTGTTTCAACCCATCTCTAATAAAAGCTTTATATTCTGTAATGTTTAGTTCAGAATACTTTTAGTACCATGGTTACTTCTGCCCTTTTCTTCTTCCTTCCCTAGTTACCACACACATGTCCAGCATATTCATGAATATTCTTTTGCTACACTTTTCTGTTTTCCAATGAGTAGAGATGACTTTAAAATTTTTAAAGAGGCCAGAGAACAGCTTGAACTCACAGCACTACCCTTGCCTGCAGGAGCTCCTCTAGGTTTCACTCCCATCCCACCTGACTACAGTACAGGATCCAAACAGTAAACTTCTGTAAGTACCACGGGCAACAAATACTCTTTTTCCCTCCCAGGCTACGGATCAGCATCAGACTCGCTCCTGCACAATGGAGCCTCCCTCTCAGCTGCTATCTCTGGTTCCTCACTGTACCAGGGAGTAAAGAAACAGTTGGTGGGGTGGGAGTAGGAGAAGTAGATACTGGCAGCTACTCAGCAGACACACCCACCTTACAACCCCAAGAGTCAGAGGTCAAGAGCTTTTCCAACATTTCTATGGGCAAGGCATGAAGAAATAACAGTGTCTCTACCCCACTGACACCTAATCTTGGGCAGGTGAGAGCAGGTCAAGGAAATGAATCAGAGACTCCACTGAAGAGCTTCACTGCTTACAACAGTACATATTTTTAAAGAGATGGGGGAAGGTGACTACCCTTATCTGCCACTGCATTCAGCCATAAATCATTTAGCAGGATGTTTGTGCTAAAATGATCAGACATGAATTAGTGTCAAAATTTAAATCATTAGGCTTAAACAGTAACAGACAACTGAGTTGACAGAGAGGGAGCTAACTTCTCAGAGTTACTGTATCTGCTTCTGTCTACTGAATAAAAAGGCAAAGTACATTTAGAATATTTTTGTTGTAACCCCAAGTACAAGAAAAATTTATAAAAATGTACGTTTTAAGATTCTGCAGAACCTTGACTGTCATGGGATTTGATTAATACATCAAGTAGGCCTGGAGTCTGAAAATGAATCACATAAAACACTGTATTAGTGTGCATCAACTAAGCATAAACAAACTAAAGGAGAAATCACTAAATGCATTTCAAAACAACATTTTTACATCTTCCACAACAGAGATGTATTTTAGCTACAAAAATTAAAGCCTAAAGACAAAAGTGTAGCTAAATACTCAAGTCAGAACTGGGATCTGACACTCATGGTAGAAGCAGATGTTTTGTCATTATCTATTCTGAGGATGGTAGTTGTGTTGGGACAGGCAACGCACTAGTTGAACTACAGAAACCCCATCTGCCAGGTCAGATAGGCATCTTTCTAGTCCAAGAGGATTTTGTATTATAGATCAAGCCAATGATAAAATGAACTTGTATGTGGATTATAGCTAGAAGAATACTTCTATTGATACAACACTGGAAAAACTCTAAAGCAAGGACAACTTCAAATGTACAATCATAAAAGCTGAGACTCCACTTGTTATTAATATAGTTTACAAACCAGAATAAGTTTCAAAGTGAATTACAAGAAAGAGCAGAACAATTCAAAGCTTTAACTCACCCTGTCAGACTCAAGTATCCTAGCTCAAATTTCCTTTCATCAATGGTCTGAGAAGAATGAGTATTGTACATATGACATGAATTGCAATAAATCAAAACAGGATGAATTAAGGAAAGGGTCTGAACTACTATTATTGCCTTCCTTTGGAGAGTCTACATCACAAGTATTTTACGAAATGTATTTTGTATTTCATTTGTTTTTGACTATGGCTATTTAACAAATTATACAAAGGAGGATAGCACTACGGTAAGATCTTTATCACACAGTTCTACAGGAAGTCTAATTGCAGTCACTGCTGTAAGCATCCTCTTAATTTAATGAGGACTGTGAGTTATAAGAATAATACATAGTGACATTACTGCCAAATCAGGTTTGACTGATGTTCTGATAGAGAGTACACAAGAAGCCACATTATTATTCCAAAAGACATTTCTACACATTGCCACCATACTCTAGTCTTTTTACAGAAAATGTTGCTGAAATTAATGGTGTAGGAAAAATATACACCCCCATTCTCTGAAAAGAATTCTTGCAGAGAAAAGGACTGAGTTTCTTTGGGGCTAAAAAATTTCAAAATATAATGATTTTACCCCATAAGTGATTGATAAAAAATAATTTAAATTTATTGCTACTGAGCTGCAAATTAGGGAAATTCAAGGCCCTTTCAATTTACCTGTTCCCCAAAATATCATTCAGCATGTCAGGCAAGTGAGGAATTGGGGAGGATGAGAATAGAACAGGGGACCAATTTATGGTTTTTTGTTTGTTTGTTTTTTGTCTACAGTACGATCCATGCATCTAAACAGTTCTTGCTGCCATTATAAGTAACATAGTCTAGTATAACAGCATACAGCCTCAACAGGTCATTAACTCACAAAAAATAAAGTCTTAATATCCTTTCCCTACCTGGGTTTGAGAATAGGCAAATATTTGCACAAACAGATCACAAACCAATCTGTGTTGTCTAATGACTTCCCAAACAGTTGCAGGCCTGTTTTTTACTCTATGTTTCTGTACATTTGAACTCAATGTACTTTCAAATGGCCTTGCACTCAGCTTTTAATATTGGTAACTGACACTGAAGGCACTATTTTAGGTATAACTGGAAGATACATTAAATTTTCTCCTTATCCCTGGAGGCAGTCCATCCAAGTGGAAATTAGAGAATGGCACTTTTGTAACAACTCAATTTTTGTTTCCAAATAAGAAATTCTAATTTCACTAGTTGCATGAACTAGTGGAGCATAAAAAAAAAGTTACTCTGTCTGTATTCACTCACTATATTAATCCTGTAAAAAACATGTGCCTACATGTTTGTAATGCCATAAGTTTTTACTTTGTAAAGAAATGACAAACAGTATTATTGATCTTTCACAGTAGATATTTATCAGTCAAATATGAACTTGCTTTGCCTCTGACCCTTAAGTAATCTAGGCAGTAGCTCAGGGGTCGGCAAACTTTCAGAAGTGGTGTGCCGAGACTTCATTTATTCACTAATTTAAGGTTTTGTGTACAAGTAATACATTTTAATGTTTTTAGAAGGTCTCTTTCTATAAGTCTATAATATATAACTAAACTATTGTATGTAAAGTAAATAAGGTTTTTAAAATGTTTAAGAAGCTTAATTTAAAATTAAATTAAAATGCAGATCTTATCAGTTTAGTGTGATCCTTGCCCTTGCTTTTCCTTCCTGAGTTTTCCAATGTCTGGCACGTATTTGGATACTTTAAGCTGCACACAGACTTCTGAGTGATCAGTTGTTAACCGGCTCCAAGAGGGACAGGGGACAGATTTCATGTGTGAAAACACATGTTCACACAGGTATATGGATCCAAATGCTGAAAGCATTGCAAATGCAATTTTCTTCAAACAGTTAAATTTCACTGGCAGGGACATCCAGCAGGTCAGAATAGAGGCCCCATGATCTCTCTCAGTAGCTTCAAGTGCATTCCTCAGATCTCCAAACTTTGATGCCCACAATTCTGAGCTTTTTAACTAAATGAGCTGCATTTTGAAATCTTCAACACCCATCCACTGAAATACAGACAAATCCAAGTCGCTTTCATTGAACTTTTCAGGTTTAATTAGAAAAGAAAAGATTGGCCCAAATCGCTGGAAATCTTGAAGTCTGTCAGAAAATTCTGATTCCAGTTCTTGCATGCACATTCTAATCTCAACATCAAACGAAGTGTGTTGTTCCACGTGGTGTGATAGTGATGTAAGCAGCAAATCAGGACTTAAAAATATTTCAGCACAGTGGTGCTGGAACAATTTTTAAGGTGGCGGTGTTGAGCTGCGCCCTCTCTTGCCCCTGTCTGTACCCCTCACTGCCACAGGCTGGGGACGGCTGCTGAGCTCTGGGCCAGCGGCAGGGACCCCAGGCTGGCAGCAGAGCCCCCAAGACGAGTAACCGCAACCTGGGGCTGGCAGCGAGCTGAGCAGGGCTGGCAGATGGAACCCCAGCTAGGAGATGGCCGGCAGCCAGTACCCCAGGCCAGCAGCCGAGCCCAGAACCAGGGCAATGTGAGTGCCACTGAAAATCAGCTTGTATGCCACCTTTGGCACGCACGCCATAGATTGCCTACCCCTGCAGTAGCTCATCAAGTTGATGAAGACAGTTCTTGGCTGTTTGTACAAAAGACCAGCAAACTGATGTTTTACCTTTATTTGAAGGACCTATCTTAAAGCAATAATATGATTTTAATGCATTTTGAAAAAAATATCTAAACTACACCAGTAAAGCAAGACATACATTGTTACAGTTAGCTGGACCAAGTTATCTCTCTCCCATAACCGAACTATGCTGATTATAGATGTACATTTTAAAAGTATCTCTGGCAACTTCATTCAATCACTAAGTATTCCAAGTTCTGTTAGATAAAATACTTAATAACTATTTATTGGGAAACATTTTATCACACTTCCAGTGAACTTGAAAACCTTACAGTACTACTTTGATACAGAAGTTTGTCTCACACTTACCCACCTATTCTTTTTCAGAATATGGAAGCCGAAGGAGACAGAACAAAGACCAAAGGATCCCATGATGGCGATGCACACACTGTATGGGTAAAGCACATCACAGATGGGCTTTTCACCAACAGCAGAACCACATCCTACTTCTTATACTCAGAACTCCCTGCTCTATTCTACAATGGTTTACAGTCTGCCATCATCCTAGGCTATTGTGAAACCAACTGCTACCTGAAAATGCACATCAGTTTTCTAGCTGGTATTTCCTTTCAAGATTAAGAGTTTAAATATTATTTAATCCATAAATGTTGTAGACTTACACATATTTATACAGAATGGTAAATACATGGATTTAAGTAAAGTTAACCTTCTATTGAGTCTTGACACAAATGCTCATTACTCATAAACTTACTACTTAGAGTAAAGGCAAATCACCATACTAGGTATAGATTTAAGAAATACTTTTAAACTAACAAATGATGACCAAATGGATTCCAATAAGATAGGTTTCCTTACTATCAGGTGTTTCCCCTCTATCATGAAATAATGGCAAAAAACCCTGCACCAGCCCAGAATTCTTGATCCCACATGAGGCAGCAGCAAAGAACATAGTTTTAGTCCCACCCAAGGCTGCCAGACTGCCCCACCAGGGAAAAAGAGTCAGAGGCTCTTTGGGAACAAAGTTCCTATGCCCAGCCCATGTGCTACCTTCAGAACACAGCATGGACCCAGCTCTGGTAGAAAGCAACCAGAGGGAGTGGAGACCAAGTTAGGCTTCAAGTCAAACTACACATCAGAGGCAGGAGCCCTTGCAACAGAAGTGTTTATAGGGCAGCTTCTTCATCACACAGGTCCCAGGTAGCTCCACCGAGAGCAGGGCTTTTCAACCTTTTTTCTTGCTGAGCCACCACCCAACATGCAATAAGAAATTCCATGGCCCACCTGTGCCACAACAACTGTTTTTCAGTAGATTAAAAGCTAGGGCCAGAGTTAGGGGGTAGCAAGCAGAGCAATAGCCTAGGGCCCCATACCACAGGCAGCCTCAGAAAATTAAGTTGCTCAGGATTTGGCTTCAGCCTGGGCAACAGTCTCAGGATTCAGCTTTCTGCCCTGGGCCACAGTGAGTCTAACACTGACCCTGCTCTCTGGTTTATTCTGGCAGACACCCTAAAACCCGGAGGCCCCAGACTCCTGGTTGAGAACTGCTGAGATAAAGGATCTCCCAGCAAGCTAGATAGCAGAGACAATGTAGCACTGCATGTGGCACTTCATTACCCCATTAGCTAGAGTCAGACTTCTGTCCCAGGTTGACCTGTTTCAGGCATTGCCCTCAAGCCAGGACCTACCATGCCAACTAGGGTTACCAACTTGACATTTAAAAACCAGAACGCTTCAGTAGGCATACCAGAATCCCACCCACCCCCCCCCCCCCCGACCCACCTCCATGCACTCCTCTTCCCCCAGGTCAGAAGAGAGACTCCTGTGGAGCTCAGCTAGAAGCTGGAGCTACCCGAGGCAGGTAGGAGGGAGCCCCAGCTGAGTAGGAGCTGACACAGGTGATGGCTGCGTACCTCCTCGCCTCCCTCACCCACAGTAAACCGGACTTTGAAAGTCCGGTCAATAAATCTGACAAGACACTGTCCGGTTCCCTTACTGACCAGATTTTCCAGCTGAAGACTGGCAGCTGGCCACTCCTAATGCCAACCCCAGATTCCCTTGCAGACCTAACCAGAGAGATCCTCTGTGCACTCAGGCCTGAAAAGTGTCCCCCTCACTGTGCTGGGCTTTTCAATAGCCCTCCCCCGGTCCGGGGTCTAGCCAGACTAGCCTCACTTTGCTAGGTCCGCCCTTCCCATGCCCAGCTCACGGAACCCCAACGCAACATGTCTCCTTCGGCTCCAGGCCAACCCCCAGGCCGCACTGCTCCAGCCTGGCCTCCCCATATCAATGGCCAGCCCCCTACAAGCACCCGGGCCTCACCTCACCCCACGCTCCCTCCCCCTGCCTCACTGGGTCAACCCAGCGCCCCCGCACGCCTCCAGGCCAGCCCCTTCCCTCCAGCCAAGGCCTCAACGCGCCCCCGCACCTCAGCCGGACCCTTTCCGCCTACCTCTCCCCAGCTGCCGCCTCACTCCCCTCCGTACCACAACCAGCCCCCGTCACGCACCCCGAAGCTGGCGCAGGCCAGGGCAGGCCCCAACCCCCCGCAGGCCTCACCGTGCCGCCGTCCTTAATGATGATCTTCTTGGCCAGCATGATGCTGCGGTTCACGGCCCGTTTCTTCTTCTTCCCCCCCTGGGTCATTTTACCATCCTAGGGCCCCGGGGGGGGGAATGTTGAGCGGCGCGAGGCCTTCGCTCCCCTGCTCCGAGCTCGCGCCGCCACCGCTCACGCTCATTGACCGCCCGCCGCCATCTTGGGGGACAGCACTGGTCACTCTCACATCACGCGATCCTCCGATTGGCTGAGCGGGGGCACGTGGGCACGGATACCCCGCCTCCTCACGAGCTGGAATGAGGCAGCCGGGCGGGAACGCCTGACGGCGCGTGGGGGCTCTCCCACACCGCCAGCCGCTGGAGTTTCCCAGCTCTGCGGTGCTCCCCGCCGGCGCCCCCCTCCTCCGCCGCCGCCGCCACTTCCGGGCGGAAGGACGGCGCTCAGCCCCCGCAGGGCCTGCCTGTCGCTCTACGCCCAGGCGGGTTACAGTCCCCAAGCTGGGACCACAGAGGGCCCCTGTCACGGGGCCCTCCCGAGGCACTGGGCCTGCGCCCTCCTGCAGCCCTACCGGCTCGGCTGTAGCCACACAGCTTGTTGCTAAAAGCAATGTAGTGTAGACAAACGCTGAGATTATGAGATTATCATAAACCGAAGGTGTTGGGCCAGCATAGCTCACAAACGCTGAAGCTTGTTGTCCCTCATCCTCACCACACCCATCAGCCAGGACCGACTAAAGCAGCTCCAGGGTCTTTAGTCTGTTTAAAAGAGTTGGCAAGGCCACAGTGGGGTGCTCCTTGTCCTGACAGTCATAACATGATATCCTTTCCCCCATAGGGCCAATCCAGGTTTCCACAAAGCTTGATTTGTGTGCAACAGGCAGGGAGTACTACTACACTTATTTGGGGACAGCATACAGGTGCATCACCCTACCCAAAGAAGAGCTCTGTGTAGCTCAAAAGCTTGTCTCACTCGCCAACACAAATTGGTCCAATTAAAAATACTGTATTTTCTCACCCACTTTGCCCCAGTACCACTTATGACAGCAGACTCCACCATCCCTGGGGTAGAAGAGCAATGGAATAGTAATGGCAAAATAACATTAAAAATGGGATTGAGACACCTATTAGGATGTTTAAGCAGAATAGGAAATATTCATAATAGGTTTGGATGCGTGGTTAAAGTTAAACCCTTGTGTACAAATAGTTTTTCTACTAGTACAACTGTGTTAGTAAGGGGGGTGTATGATTTTTTAAAAAACCAGTAGAGTTATACTGGTACAACTCAAGGTGGATGCAGTTATGCCTATAGTAATGGGCCTTAGGAGAAATCTAATAACTTAGTGGCATAGCTTGAACTGACAATTTAAGTAAAAATAATACTAAAACATTGCAGGAAGTTGATTCTGATGTCACACCGAATCATAGATTAGGGTTGGAAGAGACCTCAGGAGGTCATCTAGTCCAACCCCCTGCTGAAAGCAGAACCAACCCCAACTAAATCATCCCAGCCAGAGCTTTGTCAAGCCAGGCCTTAAAAACCTCTAAGTATGGAGATTCCACCACCTCCCTAGGTAACCCGCTCCAGTGCTTCACCACCCTCCTCGTGAACTAGTTTTTCCTAATATCCAACCTGGACCTCCCCCACTGCAACTTGAGACCATTGCTGCTTGTACTGTCATCTGCTACCACTGAGAACAGCTTAGCTCATCCTCTTTGGAACCCTCCTTCAAGTAGTTGAAGACTGCTATCAAATCCCCCCTCACTCGTCTCTTGTGCAGACTAAATAAGCCCAGTTTCCTCAGCCTCTCCTCATAAGTCATGTGCCTCAGCCTCCTAATCATTTTTGTTGCCCTCCACTGAACTCTCTCCAATTTGTCCACGTCTTTTCTGTAGTGGGGGAGGGGGGAGGGCCAAAACTGGACACAGACTCCAGATGTGGCCTCACCACTTCCAAATAGAGAAGAATAATCACTTCCTTCGATCTGGCAATGCTCCTATTAATACAGCCCAATATGTCATTGGCCTTCTTGGCAATGAGGGCACACTGCTGACTCATATCCAGCTTCTCATCCAGTGTAATCCCCAGGTCCTTTTCTGCAGAACTGCAGCTTAGCCAGTTGGTCCCCAGCCTGTAGCAGTGCATGGGATTCTTCTGTCCTAAGTGCAGAACTCTGCACTTGTCCTTGGTGAACCTCCTCAGATTTCTTTTGGCCCAATCCTCCAATTTGTCAAGGACACTCTGGACCCTATCCCTACCCTCCAGCATATCTACCTCTCCCCCGTCTTAGTGTCATCTGTGAACTTGTGAAGGGTGCAATCCATCCCATCCTCCAGATCAATTAATGAAGATGAACAAAACCAGCTCCAGGACCAGTTCCTGGGGCACTCCACTTGATACCATCTGCCACCTAGACATCGAGCTATTGATCACTACCCATTGAGCCCAACAATCTAGCCAGCTTTCTATCCACCTTATAGTCTACTCATCCAATCCATACTTTTTAAACTTGCTGGCAAGAATACTGTGGGAGACCCTATCAAAAGCTTTGCTAAAGTCAAGATATATCATGTCCACCGCTTTCCCCATATCCAGAGAGCCAGTTATCTCATGATAGAAGGCAACTAGGTTGGTCAGGCATGACTTGCCTTTGGTGAATCCATGTTGACTGTTCCTGATCACCTTTCTCTCCTCCAAGTGCTTCAAAATGGATTCTTTGAGGACCTGCTCCATGATTTTTCCAAGGACTGAGGTGAGGCTGACTGCTCTGTAGTTCCCTGGATTCTCCCTCTTCCCTTTTAAAAGGTGGGCACTATATTTGCCTTTTTCCAATTGTCTGGGACCTCCCCCGATTGCCACAAGTTTTCAAAGATAATGGCCAATCACATCTGCAGTCACATCAGCCAACTCCCTTAGCACCCTCCAATGCATTAGATCTGGACCCATGGACTTGTGCACGTCCAGCTTTTCTAAATAGTCCTTCACCTGTTCCTTCACCACTGAGGGTCACTTAACTCCTCCCCATACTGTGCTGCCCAGTGCAGCAGTCTGGGAGCTGACCTTGTCTGTGAAGACCGAGGCAAAAAAAGCATTGAGTACTTCAGCTTTTTCCACGTCATCTGTCACTAGGTTGCCTCCCCCATTCAGTAAGTGTCCCATACTTTCCCTGACCACCTTCTTCCTAACATACCTGTAGAAACCCTTCCTGTTACCCTTCACATCCCTTGCAAGCTGCAACTCCAGTTGTGCTTTGGCTTTCCTGATTACACCCCTGCATGCTTGAGCAATATTTTTATACTCCTCCCTAGTCATCTGTCCAAGTTTCCACTTCTTGTAAGCTTCCTTTTTGTGTTTAAGCTCACCGAAGATTTCTCTGTTAAGCCAAGCTGGTCACCTGCCATATTTGCTATTCTTTCGGCATCCTCAATAAAGCTTCTTTAAGAAACAGCCAGCTCTCTTGAACTGCTTTCCCACTCATATTAGCTTCCCAGGGGATCCTGCCCATCAGTTTCCTGAGGGAGTCAAAGTCTGCTTTTCTGAAGTCCATCTTATGTGACAGGGATAAATCATGAATGCAACTTCTGCATCAAAGTTGTGATATGGGCTGCAAATGCAATAAAAAATAAGGTATTCAAAAGTTTAACAAATGGAGCGTGGGGGGGGGGGCACCAAAGACACTGCTTGACTGTGGCGCCATTTGGTCTAGGGTCAGCTTTGGTCTATACTATCACTAATAAATAAATGTGTAGAGACGAGAGAATCCTGATGAGCTTCAACATGGTATTCGTCTGATCTCTCGTGAGATTAGAAAACCTACAATTAAAGCTGTCCCCACTTTACTGTAATTTGATGCCATAAATAATTAGGCTTTTAAAGCTTTATTCTCCCTTTGATTTATAGAGGTAACTGCCATTAACAGTAATGGATTTAGTGTGTGTCACACACCAAAGGGACACTATGGACTCCTTAATCTGATGGAATTTGTTAATTTGAGTTCTTTTAACACGATCACTAAAAGTACAGGACACTGTTCTAGCTGGGATAAAAAGAAGTTTTCATTATTAATAAACTACATCACTAAACCTTTTAACAAACCTAATTGAAATACAGGCCCAAAAGAAAAGAAAAAAAAAAGTCTTTCAGATGGATCTCTTTACTTATCTGGAGAGTGAATGTTAGATGCTTTGGCTGTACAAAGAGACATAATTATGCTAAAGTACAGAGACACCTTCTGCCCCCGAGTGTGCTTGAATTCCACTACAAAAGATAAAAATAAGGAAGGAATCATTTTTGTTCTTTCGCTGAAAATCTGCAAAATTTCTATCAAAATGAAAACCTGGATCTATGCAGGAAATAGCCCGACTTGATTATGTAAAGAGTTGTCACTTTGGATGGGCTAGCACCAGCAGGAGAGTGAATTTGTGTGGGGGAGTGGAGGGTGAGAAAACCTGGCTTTGTGCTGGAAATGGCCCACCTGTTGATCACTTTAGATATGCTATTACCAGCAGGACGGTGGGGTGGGAGGAGGTATTGTTTCATATTCTCTGTGTGTATATAAAGTCTGCTGCAGTTTCCACGGTATACATCTGATGAAGTGAGCTGTAGCTCACGAAAGCTCATGCTCAAATAAATTGGTTAGTCTCTAAGGTGCCACAAGTACTCCTTTTCTTTTTGCAAATACAGACTAACACGGCTGTTCCTCTGAAATTTTCATTTTGGTGGAAAATCCATGGTTTCAGTCTAATGTTTTAGCAAAAACCAAGCCAAACCAAAACAAAACCCCACCAGCTGTAGTGCTGATTTTGACATAACTGTCCTCTTTGCTCACTTGCCAGACATATAAAGCATCCCAAACCACTCTGGGGCACATGCATCATTACCATGATTACCTTTTCATAAATAATTGATACTGCAGTACACTTTATGCAGTGAAGTATACAGTAGTTCCCCCTTGTAATTTTATCCCACCTAGTGTACAGAGATAGGTGCTATTCTTATTTCTATAAATGTACAATTCTTTAAGCAAACAAACAAAAACCATATAGTACTAAGCCATTTGCCTCAATAACAGCCCTTGGCAAAGTATCTACAGTTCCAAAATCTCTGGTTGGTTTTGATTCATTTTCTAATACAGATGGTAGATGGCAATGGAAACTAGCCTGTCAGCTTCTTTTGAAAAAAGAACAGGAGTACTTGTGGCACCTTAGAGACTAACAAATGTATCTGA